AGAAACCATCCACGTTTGTCTTTGCTTGCTTTGTTCGAACGGACAGACAATTGAATTCTTTTTTAAATTACGTTAACTCATTACATAATCGTATAAAGTTCACAATCGAGATTGCACAGGAAAACTCTATTAATTTTTTAGACTTGACTGTTACGAAAACGCAAAACAAATTAGATTTTTCCATTTATCATAAACTTTCACACACGGACACAGTCATACATAACAGCTCAAATCACCCTTATACACACAAAATGGCTGCATTTCACTTTTTTATACACAGACTTCTTAATAGGCTCAACAGAAAATTACAACAAGGAACTTAATATCATTAAACAAATTGCACTCAACAATTCAGACAACAGTAAACTCTATTTATCCGAAACCTAATACAGAATTCGAACAATTTGAAACAATTACATACATAGGAGAACCCAGTGAAAAAGTTTCAAAACATTTAAATACCTCTCCTTTAGTGAACTTAAATTCTAACAACATTAATTAAGGTTTTATTGTCATTTTTCGGTATATATAGTAGCAGGTAGCTGGTCCATTGCCTCGACACGTTTTAATATTTTTTTACTTTTTCACATCCCGGCGGCGTCGAAAATCTCAATTTCATTGACTCACGCACCACATCCTCAAGATGGAAAAAAGATTTCTTCAATTCCGCCCGTATTTTTCCATTATTCCGTCGTTTTTTTTTTCGGTTATTGAAGTTTTAATGAGTTCTGCCCCGGGTCGCCGCTAAAGGCACAAAACGGCGAATAATGCGTTTTTGTTTGCGGCTCGAGAACTTGCCTTTCGCAGGTTTTCGAACGGAAAAGCCGCAGTAAACGCGCACAAACTTGGTAACGAAAAAAATTATACAGTTTGCGACACTTGAACTGTGGCAACCATGTTCTGTTTTGCTGGAGTGTAAATTAATAGGCGATTTACGCTAAGGGGGCTACGAGGGGGCAAAGCGCGACCTTGACAATACGGTTCAACTTTCTAAATCTACTGCTATAGTATAAGTTTTCATATGTTTTTTCTACTCCCGTCTGTAAAATACCTAAATACACACCGATCTACCGTGCGGGAAGCGTCAGTTTCGTTTCCCACGGATCCAAGCCACTTCGGGCATTTCCGGGATTTTACCGCACGGGTTTGGGAGCAATCGGATGTTTTCGGAGACATTTCCCACGCCTTGAATTTTGTCAGTTCTGACTGTCATGTCAGTGAATGTATAGAAAAAGTATAGTATGCAACACATTCAGTAAACTTTTTAAGTCACTTGTTTATTAAACACTCGCTACGCTGCGCTCCGCTCGTGCCACATAAACTCATGAGCTTATCCATTGCCCACTTAAAATGCTTATATGGTTCTAAAATAGTATATTATGCAACAAGTGCGGTAAACGGCATTTGACTCACGAGTTTATTTGATACGGGCGGAGCGCAGCGGGGCGAATTTTTAATAAACGAGTGAGTTAAAAAGTTTACCGAATGTGTTGCATACTATACTTTTTCTACGACCGTCAATTTTTGGGTACATTTTCGCAAAACATGAATACAGTCACTGACATGACTGTCAGAATTGACAAACGTCAAAATTCAAAGCGTGAGAAATATCTCCGAAAACATCCGATTGCTCCCAAATCCGTGCGGTAAAATCCCGGAAATGTCCGAAGTGGCTCGGATTCGTGGAAAACGAAACTGACGTGGTAAAGTGACGCTTCCCGCACACTGAATCGGTGGGTAATTAGGTATTTTACAGACGGGAGTAGAAAAATATTTTAAATCAATCAGTAAAAAAGGTCCTGTGTGATTCGATAGTTTTATCTTCTTTTAACCACTGTGATGTCGTCTATGGCCCATGTCTGACAGTGTCTGCATCAGAACGGATTAAAAAAATCCAGAAATACTGTCTGAGATTCATTTTTGGGATTAAACGCTGCAGGCCTGTTAGTCATAAACCGAAGGAAGTCCGATGGCTTAATATGAAAAATCGACGATAATTATAAGATTAAAGTCTCCACGCTCCAATGCATTCGATTAGTCTCTTAAATTCCTAAACAATACCTTTTGCACAAACCTGCGTGAAGTATTATTATCATTAAATATTTACTGCTGTAAACTATTTCCAAAGTGTAAGTCCTTCTATTTGCACAGATTGTACTAGGTTTTTTTTTCTTTTAATGTGTATTTTTCCTGCTTAGCGCTGCTACCTTTTTCTTAGGATAGGTTTAAAAACGGAGGCTCAAAATATCTTATTTTGTTCATCTAAACCGTGTCCTTTTCATCGTATATTAATACGTGAATAAATTATTATTATTATTATTATTATTATTAAATGCCGTTTACCGCACTTGTTGCATAATATACTATTATAGTTTTGTAAGCGATAAACCAATTTATGATCGGTGGTCCGTGACAGTATCATCAATTTGCTGCCTAGTTCGTCTTTTCCCTGGTTTTTTTCTGAAATACGAGAATGAAAAAGGGGATAATAGAGATAAAAGGACGAAGCAATCGACTAGGTGCCGGCTGGAAGTTGTAAAGTAACAAACAGCTCGTCGGAGATGCTCCGCGAGGCGCATTCTTTGCGAATAATTGACGTAACACAATCGAGGCCCTCTCTATCTCTGGCCGCGAGCTCGTATTTTGCGGGACGGCATGGGGAATTGGTTCCTTTCGCTTAATCATTTTTATAGAGACTCGTCGACCCGTCGACTCGTCGCCGCGCGTTTTCAATACCCACAGTTGTTTCGCCTGGAAATTATTTAGCTCGCCTGCGATTGAATTCCAAGTATTCGATGGTGGTCGGTTCAAAATTTATCTCATCCGGAGATGATTGCGTGTTTGGATCGAAAATCATTCGGATGATTCTGTGCCAATGTGTCCGTACGTTGACGCGTCTTATTTTTACTGGCTTATGTGCCGACTCTGCAAAAGAAGAAGAATCAGAACAAGGTTTTATGCTTTGGTGAAACATCGATGTAAAGGGGCGATATGTGTTTGCCTTGCTTAATTACTTATTTATAAAAATAACATTTAATAAAAAAATAACAATTATGATCTAACTATCTTAAAAGAACTCTGAAAAAGCGCACGTAAATTGATGTATGTATATTCAATTTAAATAGGATTTTTTTGCAACATCACCGATTTTTTTATTTTATAAATAAATGATAGAATCAAGTAAACCAGTTTCGTTATTACATACGATATTTAACATACCAGAAAATTAATCGAATCTCTCGAAAGTTATAAGTTGCTTTCTTCACAGTTTTTACAAATGCGTCATTTTTTTTAAATATAAAAAACATGTTTTTTTTTTATGTTTTTCCAACCTACCTTTTTTTTGGTACACTCTAATTTAAGGAAATATGCTTCAAACTACTTAGACGTAACGGCCAATGTTTAAATACGTTCGGGTATGAATGTATGTATTATTTTTAAGGCGCAAACAAATCCCCAGGGGCAAAATTTGCCAAAACTCATTAACAAAAATGTTCCTATGTACCAAATGCAACTCAAGAATTTACTATTTTAAAAAATGTTCATTAAATAACATCTAACCTAACTAACCTAAACTTAAACCGTCACCATCCAAAATTGTCAAAATATATCCCACCATTTAGTTCAAAGAAAGATAAACGATTAAAATTGTCCCAGTCTGTTATTATTACTACACTTATCTGTAATTAGTATTAATGTGTATGACAAAGAAAAGGATCCCCATTACCGCCAGTCTTTTTCTCAATAAAATTTGCCTCACAAAATCCATATTGGGTTTGCATTACCAGAAAGAACTATTGCAGTTTAGATCGAGTTCACAGGGCTGCCATTTTGTTTTCCAATTTTGTTCAAAATTTGTACCTAACCCCTGTTTTTATTTTTGATTATATTAACATTGTTATTGTTATGTTAGGAAGCCAGATTTTTAAGAGTTTAAGTAGATATGTTAGCAGGATTCTGTGCCATCGAGTTTATTTATTTGATTGTCCAAGTTTATTCGCATTCGGTCGTTTTTTTATCAACTCTTCTAACTTTGTGTTCGAAATGGCGAAATAAATATCAAACCTTCGCGAAAACCAAACCGACGGTGACGTGAACGAGGGGTAAGCCATTTACGAGGGCCTATTACGGAAATTGTTTTGTTGCACATTTTTAGCGTGCACGTCAGCAGAAATGCCCCCCTATAAACGCACTCGATACGCTAATTGAACAAGGCTTTTCGACGGGCGCAAAAAAAAGATTGCAGTCGAATTTTGTATTCGATGTTAAAAAATATATCGGCCGTAAATTATTTTTCGACGCTCTCGCTCGCGGCTAGTTTTCCGGACGTACGCGTCCCGTGTCATATTTTAATACGAGCATTACACGAGCATATCGACCAGTTTTCCGAGCGGTCTTGCCTATAATCGACAAAAAAATTAAATAGGGAAGAAACATGTATTAGTTAAAAAAATGTTTTTTCCTCCTAAAATGAATAAAAATTAAAATATGCCGAAGTTTAAATGATTTTAAGGAAGCGATTCACAAAGTATAAAGTCGTCCATACGCCGAAAAAGCTAAGGCATATTCTTAATTTTATTTACTTGCTTTTTTCAGTAGACCTTTTGTGTTCAAACTTCAACTGTTATTGTTATTTTTTTGCGTATACGTCCAACAGAGAAGCTAGCGAAAAGTAAAGTTCAAACAGTTCAAAAATATACATTTCTCTGTGGTATGGTGGGTGCAAGTCAAGAATAATGATGATTACATTAATAATTTGGAAAAAAATTAATCTTAAAATGAAAATGTTATTTTTAAATAAAAATCATTTCTGAATCGCCAAAATTCGTTCATGGGATAAATAGTTTGATAGAAATACAGAACCCATATGACAGGACTGCGTTCAAATGAACTTTTTATATTGCTTTGGATCCTACCTATTTACATTCTTATGTATTGTACCACGATTTTCGACCACCGAGTATAGGAATTGATTCTTACGTATTTTGTTCGCGTTTCAGAGCGGCTAAACGTCCTTTACGAAAAAAACTGGACCAAGCTCGTCACCGAACAACTGAAGAGGTTCGAAAGGACAGTGGTCGAAACGGCGAAAAGCGACGGAGCCCTCACAATCCCCGCTCAGAAGTGGACTTTTGGAGGGTCCTTGCTTTATTCCGTAACACTCTTAACAACAGTTGGTAAGTCGCTAAGCCCTTTCCCTTCACGGACATGCCGTTTAAGTCATTAATATGTATGTTGCTAACTAAAACGTTTCAAGGTGTGAATTATCTAAACGAAATATAAAGAACAATACAAAAACTTTTAAAAAATGCTACTTTTTCAACTGGGACTGAAATGACAAAAACAAAAACAAAACAAATTAATTTTATTTAGATCTTAGTAAGGACGATAAGCCGAAATGCTGTAGTTGAATAACTAAAAATTTAATTATTTATGTTATACGTATAAACGTCATATTGCTTGCCTAATTGTTTTTTGCTTAAAATGAATAATTTTTACGTCCAAAATTGGATTTTATTAATCCAACAATAACATATGGCTTAAAAGAGAGAAAAGGAGGGCTTTGGCAAATAATTTTCTTTTATTATATGAGTAAATAATAGTTAAAAGCCTCTATCATATCAATCATTTTCTCAGGTTACGGCAGTCTGTCCCCGAAAACGGCCGCCGGCAAGATCGTCGCCATTTTATACGCCATAATAGGCGTGCCCATGATGCTCATTCTATTGTCGTCGCTGGGAGGCGTGCTAGCTGACGGTGCCAAGAAGTGGTACGCTAAATTGAGACGCCGCGCGACCTCTGACGACCGAAAAGGTAACAACAATCCGGACGTGGAGTACCGTAAGGCAGTCGGCTCGCCGACGGCCAATCATCTGTGTCGCCAGCCGGACGACACGACCGCGATCCAATTGCCATCGGTTCACGGCACTCCCAATCACGTGAACGACTACGCCGAGCACTATGAAGTGCCGAAAAGGGCCATCTTGGCCACGGTACGGCCCGCGCACAGCAGGGGCAGATGCAGGCAGGGCCAAGTCAGGCAAATTCTAGCGGGTGCGTCAGTAATTACAGTTTTAGTGCAGAAAAAAATATAATAATAGCGGTTTAAAACTGCTGTATCACTCTTCATCCGACGGACCCTCCCCAATAAAGCTTTAACGATGTTATTACCGATTGTTATTGATAAAATCATTAACAAAAAGTTTATTCTTACTTGAGTGACAAGGTAGGGGCGGGCCAGATATATTTCTTTCTTTCAAAATCATTTGTCGCTTGATGCAAAACAGGTTGTGAAAAATGTTTACGAAACCTTAATCAGCAGAGGACTAACCTAAAAGCTACTTACAAAAACCCCAATGTCGTCGATAAGGGATGTTATTAATAGTGGAGAATTGTGAATAGTGATTTTCATGCTCACCGTATAAACGATGGTGATCAGCACTTAATAAGAAGGAAAGTATATTGCCTTTATCAAAGCAAAGTGGTTCCTATCTTACATAAACTGAAAAAAAAACTAGAAGAAGATGAACTGTTTGTAAAATGAGATTTAAGTACCGCAAAACAGACAAAAGTCAAGTAGATTACGCACTTGAAGATTTAATACCTTCATGAAATTAGACAACAGATCCACAATTTACCATGATGAAACATGGTTCCATATACACAACACTGCATCCAAAGGATAGGTTTACTCCATTCAAAACGGAGAAAGCACCTTCAAATAAAGGAAAACACATCGCCATAATACACGCTGGGTCAGAAGATGGATTTGTCCTAAACTGCTTGCTGTTTTCTGCAAAGACCGTTAAGGATTCTGGCTTGGATGATCATGAGGATACAAATGCCAAACTTTTTGAAAAATGGTTTTGAAAACAATATCAGTGTTATTGTCAAGCTTCCACAGCCGTTCGCTATGCAAAGCGCCAGCCTCGCCAAGTTTAAAAATTGGAATCCAGGAATATTTGTTGAATTGAATTACAAAAAAGCGCAACTTTTGGAAGTCCTAAATTCATATGCAATTTGAAAACAGTATCTATGCTATAATTTGACTGATTAGGCTGGGCATACTGTTTTACTTCTTCCTCCATATCATTGAATGAGAACAGAGCGTAAAATTTTACTCATACTTTAAGTCCCAGTATTATAAATTTGATAAAAAATGTAATTAATACATTATAGAAATTGACTCTTACAGTTCCATACAAAACAACATGTATTTTATTATAATTAATCTCATTGAAGAGCCTAATAGTGGAACAGATTTAGATTTAGACACTTAGAATAAAAATGTAATTATGTACTGATTATGGATTCCTCCTAGTATAGGTATATCGAGAACTGCTAATTCCACAAAAATGGGGACTTTTATTTCAACAACTTTTGATTGCGGGTTCTCTCCAAAAACAAAAGAGCAACCTAAAAGAAAACCCAACCTCCTAACCTTCTGAAAATCCCTAGTTGCCTTCCCTCTGGCGTTACACCGTAAAACTAACAAAAATAATGCAACAAAGGTTTAAACGTTCGCACGTTAGATGGCGCCAGTCAAAAATAAGTTTAAAATTAATACTACAGCAGTATAGATATTCCTTTTTACAAAACTTCTGGATTCCTCCTGCGTCGGTTTTTGCTGAGTCGAACTTGCTAACGTTTCGCCAATCATCCCGTTGGCTTCTTCAGAGCTTGACTGAAACTGACTCGTATTTTACTCTGTGCCTGCTTATATATTATTTGAGGGGGGCGGAGCTAAATGAGGGGCATAAACACCGTCTCGGATAACTGATTCCTATATTGGTGACAGGTAGAGATCTGAGTCGCGGTTAAGATTGTTAGGTTGTTTATAGATTTCTATAGACTCTCGCATTTTTCGTTGGTAGAGTTGCGAGGATTTTAGTTAGAATTCTGTAAACTCCTGGCATCTCAAATGGAATTTTGTCTTTGACAAGCGGTACATCTGTTTTTTACGTTATACTTCTTTTTCTTTAGAACTTTTGATATGTGGTCAGTGATGTTTTGAAAGTAAGGAAGGACCACAGTGGCAAGTGTAGGATTGTTTTCGGCCTCATTGCTATTGGAAGGTTGTCGTGAAGTGTATTTTTTGATAGAACGTTTAATATTTTGTGTGAAAATGTGGAAATTATTAGAGAGAAGAGCAGAGGTAATTTGTTTTAATTCTGGGTTCAGTGATTCGGGCTGAGATAGTTTTACGACTCTGTAATAAGAGAGTTGATAACCGATTGTTTTTGGGCCGGATGGTGATATGACCATGCGTTAAGATATCGGTCTGTGTGCGAAGATTTTCTATAAACACAATAACCCAATGTTAGGTCTGATTTTCTATTGATAAGAATATCTAAGAATGGAAGGTTATTATTAGTTTCCAACGCAATGGTAGAACCTATGTTAGAGTGTTTAAATGTCTAAGAAAATGTAGATTCTATCTAAAATGATGTAGACAGTTTCAGGAATTGGAACCTTGGTAAAGAGGGATTCTACGTCGAAACTAACTAGAATATCTTGTGTATCTGATGTAATGCTTTTTAATTGTTCAATGAAGTGAAACGAATTAAGCACGAAACTGTTAGTTTTCCCCGTAAGAGGTTTTAATAAGAAAGCTAGATATTTTGGTAGAGAATATGTTGGAGAACCAATGGTGCTAACAATAGGTCGAAGGGGTAATCCTGGTTTGTGAATCTTTGGGAGTCCATAGAGACGAGGAATTTTAGAGTCATGCGGGGTAACAGATTTTTTCACGGAGTCTGACAGAGAAGAAGCCTTAATAACATTTCAAAATATTCATTTGTTTCCATGACTACCGTAGCATTTCCTTTATCTGTTTTTCGACATTTGAAATGATTTCCTCTTTTGGGATAATTCGTTGGGCAAGGACGAAGTTGGAACTTTTGGAAGAACTAATTTTTCCGTTTCCGAAAGTTGATGCGATGATACATTTATTACAGTGTTTGGTAGTTGAGAAGAGTTTGATGGTTCTCCTAGTGTTGACGCCAGTTTTTGAAATTTCTGAATGTGGTTTTGGGTAGTAGATAAACGAAGATTTAAAACTTTGTCATGAATGTTTGAAAAGGTATCAAACTCGGATGGGAACAAAATAGAAGAAAGTTCAAGGTGTAGAAACAGAATGAGGTTGTGACGTGATCGGATATTTAAAAAAAATTGGGTATAAGGTTATCTCTACAACGTAACAAAAAGGTCAGTGTACAGAATAAGATATTCCTAGATATGAATTTATTGTATATATTTAATGGCATTGTTTTTTCTTGGTGTATGTTAATAAGATTATACCCACCTAAATAAACAAATAAAATTTCATCATTACCAAAACCTTTTAGAGTCGGAGGTATTATTATTTTTTTATTATTAGATCCAATGTGCCCCACTCACAGCCACAACCACGGAACCCCGTTAAAGAACTCTTCCATCGTGGGAATATCCACGGACGTCGATCTCGACGAGGCGGAAGAAAACGATCCACCCGAACAAGGGTAACCTGTAGTACTATTTACAAATCTTGTGGACTCGCACCTGCGTAGGTTGTTTTCAGTCGAACTTGCTGACGTTTCGCCAATTATCCTGTTGCCTTCTTCAGACCTCACTCTTTCAGTTAAGGTCTGAAGAAGCCAACAAGATGATTGGAGAAACGTCAGCAAGTTCGACTCGGGAAAACAAACTACGCAGGTGTAATCCACAAGATTTGTAAATAGTAAATCTAAATCGCGTCAATTAATGTTTGCAGGCCTCACGATACCCCGTCCAGAATACCCCTGATATGGCGTCCGCCGGATAGTGGTTGCGAGCCAAACTCGTTACCCCCTCCTGCTCCTCCAGTGCCTAGCTTCGTGGTGTTCTTCCTCTTCTGTTCGTACGTGTGCCTGGGCGCGGTGTGCTTCGCGAGCTCTTCCGGCTGGACATTTCTCGACGCGACTTACTTTTGTTTCGTGGCCCTGTCGACGATCGGAGTTGGGGACAGGCCGCCCCACAACCAAAACGGCGGCGATTTTCAGGACCAGCTACAGATGTTCGCCAGCTGCGTGTATATCTTCGTCGGGCTAGTAATAGTGGCGATGTGTTTCAGTCTGCTGCAAGAAGAAGTGACCGTGAAATGCAGACAGTTAGCTCATGTCATGGGCGTCGGCGGCAGGCAGTGACTGCATTTTATTTTTAATGACTTTAATAAAATTACTGTTTTTATTGAAAGCGTGTTTTAGTCGGAACAATAAGCTTACGTTCTTTAAAACTAATCGAAACGACGTATTGATAATAAAAAAGAAACTTATTCCGTGGGTTGGTAACAAATACTTCCCAAATTAACCTCAGAATATAATGCGGTCAGAAGATGCATTGTTGGCTACTTATACAAAAGAGGAAGACTATCGACGTCCGACCGAACGTCAAATTTTGAAAAGTTAGGTTACGTGTGATGTGTTCCACGTCAAAAACCACCAACAGCGATGAAAAAACCGTTTACGTAGAAGCGCGTCAAGTCACACAGCCCTGCTGTAATGTTGTGATATAGTTTTAAAAGTATTTAGGCAATGGACAAGAACGTTAGGTTAAATTTGTTGAACGAAGATGAGACGGTTTCAGCGCGCGAGTGGCGAAAAGCGCTCCGGTCTCACCCAACTTACCGGATCGTTAACAAAACTATAAGGGGCCAGACACAGTTTATAAGCGTCGTAGGTTTTACTGGATTGTGCGTCCTAATCGTATTGTATATGTATCCAAGAAGAGGCTCTTTTGGTTTACGCAGCCCTGCGATTAGCACATATAACTACACGTATCCGTTAACTAGGCCTATTAGGACGAGCAGTTTGCATAGTTTTCGTATAGGCATTATTGCGGATTTGGATACAAATTCGAAAAGTGATCAGGAAAAAAACCAGTGGCACTCGTTCTTAAAGACGGGCTATCTCAGTTATAACCCTGCCAATCACGCTGTTGTCGTTACTTGGGATAGATCCGATGTTAGGCAATTGAAAAACAGCTACGCCCTTAAAGGGCGAGGTATGGAGCTGTCTGAGCTTGTGGTGTTTGACGGAAGACTTCTGACCTTCGACGATCGCACGGGTATTATATTTGAGATTGTTAACGAAGTACAAATGATTCCGTGGGTCTTGTTAACCGACGGTAACGGAAAGTAAGTCACCGCCGTCTACTTTAATTTTTTTTTGGAAAACCTCATGTTTCAGGTCGGCAAAAGGATTCAAATCTGAATGGGCAACTGTTAAAAACGAACTTTTATATATAGGATCAATGGGTAAAGAGTGGACTACGGCTAGCGGGGAGTTTGAAAGCCACGATCCGCAGTATATTAAAATTGTTACCACCCAAGGACAGGCGAGTACAGTTCTCAAAAATTGTAAAACATTAACATGGATGATTATTATTAAATAGGTTACCCATGTGAATTGGGTAAAAGAATACAATCGGTTACGTGAATCCCTTGGGATTTACTGGCCAGGTTACATGATCCACGAGAGCGGCGTTTGGTCTGACGTCCACAAGCGTTGGTTCTTCTTGCCTCGTAGGTGCAGCAAAGAGCAATACAACGAGTCTTTGGACGAAAGGCGCGGTTGCAACGTCCTCTTGTCGGCAGACACTAACATGTATGACGTAAAAGTCGTGCAACTGGTCAACTCTGTCAACACGCGAGGATTCTCAAGCTTCAAGTTCGTTCCCACGTCGAACGATTATGTGATAGTGGCGCTCAAAACCGAAGAAGTCAATGGCACAACCGCAACATACATAACGGCTTTTACCATTGACGGCGAAATACTCCTGGACGACTCGTATATTTCCGACTTGAAATACGAAGGGATCGAATTTATTTAGCATTCCGCTCAAGAAAGTTATTGTATATATGGTTCCATTGTTTTTGTAAATAAATTTGTAAATTGATCGTTTCGCCGAGTAAGTAATTTATTGCGAAAATATAAAGCAATGCTCCGAATTGGCGTCTTATTTCAAGGAATTTTATTCTTTCCCTAAAACAAAAAATAATTTCCACAAAAGCCCCAGGATTGGAGACAATCGCTTAACCCCATTTAGCGATGACTATTATTGGTTCATAATTTTGCTGCAAACTGTTTTACAATTATAATTTTGTTATTCCATAAACATAGTTCACACCACAGAACGGTTAACACTGAATACAGATAACTCATAGGCCAGGAGATCAAAGCTGTTTTCATAAAGATCCTTAAATTATTAAAATCATCAATCTTCTATAGAAATGAAAATTTACATTTCTTTTTTTACATTGACCTGCCGTTAAAAATGGTTTCAACTGCTTCTCTGTTCAAAGCAGTTTCAAAATAAATTATTGGTAGTTGTGAGTTCCGGCGCGTCACCAACAGATGGCGCCGTCGAGCGTTTGTTTCAAAAATCAAAATCCAGGACTTTCGAAATTCAAACGAAAAGAACACCAAAAGAAAAGACACATGTTAAAATTGACCAAAACTATAAATAAAACGAGCGTCTCATTTTTGACACGTGCTCATTGGGGCATCGTTTCGAGCGAAAAGAATAGTGGAAAATCAATATGTGTACGGCACTTTCGTCGCGTGACACTGACGGCGAACGTGCCTTCAAAACAGAACCTATTTTCCGTTTCCTTCAAGCTTTCCGTTTATCTTTCGTCTTCAGCCGAAACTTTCTTCCATAAATGTGCCGATAAAACTGAACAAAATGACGACTTCGTCAAAATCCGATGAACCGCACTGGCTGCTTGCCCGGAAAGGCATAAATTTGTTACTGAACAACAACCACGCTGAGGCCGAAGCTTTATTCCTAAAGTACCCTGACAGTTTGACCATGTTTGCTGGGTACTCGTTCGCCACTTTTATGGTAAACGCCTCCGAGTCTGACGTAGCAGCTCGTAAAACCGCATTCCGCAGGACGCCCTGATGAGTTTCGAGGACGACAAACTCAACAAAGCCCTCCGCACACTCAACGAACTGGAAAGGAGGTGCTCGAACCGAAACGGTTGGCTCAAAACCTTTTCCCATAGAGTATTCGGCACCGAAAACTCGCAATCGGTTATCGACCAGCTCGAGGGTCAAACAATCCAAGCAGACTCGCAGGTGTGTATCGCCATACTGACTTTCTTGCAGGAAGACCTGTCGGGGTACTTCAAGGGCGGCTGGGCGCTGCGCAAAGCGTGGAAAGTGTACCAGAAAACGTATAAGGAACTGATAAAACTTCATAGAGAGAGGATAGGAGAGCTGCAACTGCCAGGTTGGTTACTTTTATATTTAAAATCTTAGATGCGATTGAGGTTTTTTAGAGCCGGCGCCGACTCCTTCGAGTCCGACGGTACCCGGCGAGCAGCCATCGCCAGAGATGCTCAACGGGTATTCCCCGTCCTTTCATAAACCCTCCTTGTCCCATTCACAGTCTCAAACGTTTGCCAAGAACGCAGACTCGCGCAGGAACCAATCCAAAAGACCGAGCACGTTATCGTTAAAAAAATCAACTTCTATAAACCATCCGTTAAGTACCGAGCAGGATTCCGGGCCGTTTCGACTCGGCGCATTCACCATTTCCGCCTTCGCTAAGCCTTTGAACCAACTCTTCGAAGGAAAACGCTCGCCGTAAGATTCGCTTAGGTGTCGTGTTGGCATATCTGACGAAACGTCGCACTTTTTCAGCGTCGACGATTTGCAAATCGACGACGACACTATAGTGAGACTGTTGAGAGCCGTCTCTTTCGGGTATGGGCTGTTCCAGTTGGGTATCTCGCTGCTACCGCCCACTCTCGTCAAACTCGTGAGCTTCTTCGGTTTCTCGGCCAGCAGAGATAACGGAGTCGCGTGTTTGACTTACGCGAGACTTGGGGCCGACATGAGGGCGCCACTGGCGAGGTAAGAGGGAGTATGCATCGAACTTGTATAGGGCAAGTATGGTCGTTCGTTTTTCTGCGCTTTTTGTGTGGGTTGGCTTGTAAATTAGACGTTCCGTCATTATCTGCTGAGAAAGAGTACTATCGAAGGGCAAGGGATAATGAGCCGGGTGATGGGGCTTAGCCTAAGGCTTGTCCTGTGATAATTGGTAAAAAATTTGTCTTTTCAGCTTATCTTTGTTGTGGTACCATACCATAGTGAGACCGTTCTACGCTATAGACGGCACAAATATCCAAACGGGGGTGGACATATCCTCGGAAGTCCTGAGGGAATCCCGGGAAGAGTTTGCCAGCTCCTCTCTCTTTTTGTTCTTCAGAGGCCGAGTGTGCAGGTTAAATGTGAGTATTATGACCGAGTGGATTTTCATTTATTGACTCACGGCACGAAACCATCAATTGCGGTCCCAAAAATTTTATACTATCCTGAACACTTTTAGGGCAAGATATCTGTAGTCTGCGCCTTTAGCTCCTACTTTGCCGTATATACTCTGTACTATATCAAATTGTAAGGCGTTTACGTCCATCAATAAAATTGTTTAAAGTCGCACTAGAGGATTTAACTTTGTGGTCATTTTTTGAATATCTGTGTTTTTATATAGTGCTACAAAGACTTGTATTTCGGGACGACAAACCTAACCTTTATAGAGAAAATAGTAATTGACATGTTATGTTATGATGGAGGTACAGAATAAATATGTTACAGTCTGACATCACGGAGGCGTTAAAGTGTTTCAAGCGGGCCAATGAGCGAGCGACTCAGCGCGAAATCAAAATTTTGGCGATGCACGAAGTTGGCTGGTGTCATCTGATTCGCTTGGACTACCGCAACGCTGAAGAAGTGTTTTTGTATTTGAGATGCGCTAGCAGATGGTCGAGGGGGTTCTACGCTTACCTGGCCGTCATCTGCCTAGGTATTTCTCACATGCCAAAATAATATTATATCTAAAGGAGGCCACACAAGCCATTTTTAAAATGTATATAAACCACCCGCAGTGATATAGTTTTTAAATCGAATGCCCTATATTTCGCATATTTCAATTCCTTTAAGAAATATTTTTATGACGAAATGTTTTTGAATTTTAATGCATCGTTGCTAACTTATTGTGACCAAATAGAAAATATTTAAAAATGTCTTTGTATCAGATAGAAATTTAGAAACTGTCAGAATTTTCAATCATGCCGACTTGATAATGAATAGAAGCAAAGCTAGATAAGTAATATTTTGTTTTTATAAAAATATATTTACTTATCTGGTTTTTTCCTTGCTGTGAGCTTATTTTTTAACAGATTTTGAAAATTTTGGTGTCAAAATGTTGCAAGAGAAGTACCGATTTTAAAAAGTTTTTGTTTTCACTAGGGTGCTACTTGAAAAAAATAGGTTATCCTAAAAAACTAATAGTTCATTACATTAAACGCTATTTGCAATTAGACGAGTAAATAAAAGTTTCATATACAATTTTCCCCATAATCAGGTGACCCGGTAAATAGTATTTATGAAGGTCACAACCTCCTAGACACAATTTTCAAAAATTAAATAAAAATTAGAAAAAAAAACAAAAAAAGAGAAAAACCGTCCTGTCGTAGGTAGAATGATCTCCTGAATCCAAAAATGCCATTTAAAATTCGAAAGTTACTGTTGACTACATATTGTCATTGGACATTCGGCCTACATTAACTCCTCTAAATTTCAAATCGCCATCTGAAGCCGTTAAAAGTGTTCCCAGTTTCTTGCGTCCCTCGGTATATTGTTAATTTTTAATAAACAAACAGAAACAATAATTTCAACACACAATATTGATTTTGAATTTTTCTTCGTATTATTCATTTTTGACTGAAAAAAAAAAAACGAACTATCTTTGTTGGTACTTTAGATTGAATTTGTTCTGAGTTTAGAATTTAATGAAAGTAGATCAAATTGCGTAGAATTTTTCGCTATTAACGTTTAAAATAAAAAATGTGGTATTTACTCACGTTCATTTTTTACTTATATTATAGAACTCCAAAAATTGTTATCAAAAATATACAATGAATGAATTAATTTTAAGGCCAAGAAATTTAGGGACAATAGGCGAAGAGGACGTAAATTTTTTTTGTTGCTATGTGTTTTTTTTAAGTTTCAATTTTCGATTTTCGAAAATTAAATAAAAATAAAAAAAAAAACAAAAAATAAGAGAAAACCGTCCTATCCTATTCCGTTCAAACCGGAAGTACAACCGTTGACCATGTGTTTTCAAAAAAATTAGCATTCAGCCTATATTAACCCTTCCAAATTTTAAATCGCTATCTCAAGCCGTTTAAAAGTTATAGAGAGTTCACACTTCCCATAAGTGGATAAAATTAGTGCAACCGTTAGTGTCCGTTTATGCGAGCTACCCGAAATACGAGGTTAGCGCCAAAATTTCCCGGCCTGACATAGATGCAGCTCCAGTATCACGATAAAACTTTGTCTTTTAAATATATATCTTAGTAGGCTGTGAAAAAAAATTGAAGTGTTGCGTCAAATAGTTTTTTAAACAAGCCGTGTCCGAAAAAATGTCGCACATAACGCAAATTGGGTATAGAGCAGTCATAAAGTTTTTGACAAAAGAAGGGTTAGCACCTAAAATTATCAGAGAAAGGCTGGATGGTGGGTATGGCCAAAGTTCTCCTTCATATTATGTAGTGAAAGAATGGGCAAAACGTTTTCGAATGGGGCAGGAGTCCCTTGAAGATGATTCAAGAACTGATCGACCAGTGGAGGTCATAGCGGAAGACATTGTTGCGATTGTGGAAGAGTATTGAGTGATCGACGTTTAAAGGTCAACGAAATCTCAGAAATTACTAAGCTTTCTGATACAAGTGTTCGTCGAATCATGCATGATTTTTTAGGTATGCATATGCAAGATGGGTTCTTAAAAACCTTTCAGCTATTCAAAAACAACGCCATGTCGGGTGTACGCGGTCTTTTTTGGAACTCTGTGGGTCGGAACCGAAGCCTGTGATAGAAACTATTGTGACGGAAGATGAAACAATGGTTCTCTATTATGACCCTCTATCGAAAGAATCATGGAGTGGCGTTGTAAGGGTGAAGCACCTCCAAGAAAATTCAGAGTCTGCCAGTCAACAAAGAAGGTCATGGCCACGATCTTTTGGGATTGTGAAGGAATTATTTTGATAGATTTTAAAGAAACTAATACCACTGTCAATATTACGCAACATTATTACATAAATTGCGAGACTGCATACATGTAAAATGTCGAGAAAAACTGACCAGAGGCGTGCGTCTTTTGCACGATAATGCACCTGTCCATACTGCTGGTGTTGCACAAGCTGCCATTTTAGAGTGTGGGTTCCAACAGATAGATCATCCTCCCTGTAGTCCAGATATGGCCCCCAGCGACTATTTGTTTGGAGATTTGAAAAAGGACTTACGTGGACGGCGGTTTAACGACGAAGTTGAGTTAAAAGAGGCTGTTTTAGCTCATTTTGCAGACAAACCAGAGGAATATTTTTTTTAAAGGGATTGAGTTGTTAATAAAGATATATAGTAAGTGTATTGTAGTTAAAGGGGATTATATTGAAAAATAATAAAAAATTGTTACTCTATTTTGTTTCTTTCATATTCAGGCCGGGAAATTTTGGCGCTGCCCTCGTAAGCGCGAATGAAAGACGCCACACCGCCACAAACATTCATTTACTTCACGTTTTTGCTCTTTACAAACTCCTCGCCCGTTTTGATATCTTTCTGCAGCTCCTCGACCGCCCCGCAGAACAGTTTCTTCTCCTCGTCGTTTATCGTACCGAGTCCTAGATTTTTCTCCACGCCGTTTTTCCCCAACAGCAGCGGCGTCGCCAAATATTTCAACCCCGGATAAATGTCGCTAGCCACGTAGCAACTCTCCACTATGTTCGTCTCTCCCTTCATGGCGCGCAACACGCAATACGTCAACCGGGATGCTGCGTACGCAGTCGACAACGTTGCCGAACCTTTCCCCTCTTTCGCCTTGACTACTTGTGTTCCGGCCTCTTGGACTCTCTTCGTCAAACTAGCTAGTTTTTTATTCGTGAGGCACAGCTTTGGATTGCTTCTCGACCACAGGGGGATGATGGTGGGACCTGAATGTCCTCCCACGACAGGCACGTAAGCGTTTTTGGGGTCAGTGTTGGTAGCTTCGCCGAGGAACACGTTGGCGCGTACGGAATCCAAGGTCGAACAGCCGAGGATCTTCCTCGGATCTAGTTTGCCAGCTTTTTGTAGCACTTCGCATACGACCGGCACCACAGAGTTCACCGGGTTGGTGATGATGATGGCGATGGCCCCCGGATTGGTTTTGGCCATCACGACGGCGAAATCGTAAACTACCTTGTTAATCAACGGAGATTTGTTACTAAAGTACCATCGAAGGGTAGCGCGTAGTTATGCAGGATGGCAGCTTGATTATTTTATGTGAAACGTCCTATAAAGTGTGTCCGATATTTCGATGGGACAGTATGGAGATTTAGGAAGCCGCGAAATGATTCCAGGCTGAGAAATTCGATAAAATATAAAATACGGCAAACATACATAAAAAGAGTTTTTTCATTTCTTTTCGCGGCACTCCATGGATTTTAAAATTTTTGGCCACCATATTGATCATTTTGATTATTCGATAAAGAATACAAATGCTTTTAAATGATGTATTACAAAAGCAAAATTTGTTTTTTTAATAATGCGACAAGATTGCTGTCCATATACATTGAGAAAAAGCCATACTTGAGAGATAGAGACTCTGCATATGCTGATAATACAGGAACTTCACGTCCATTTAATTCCATTTAATATGCGCCTGCGCGAGATTTTCTCGTTAAATGTTCGGGGAAACGAGTTAAATGGCGCAGAGTGCAGCTTAGTGTGACAAATCTAGAGGCATGCGCGAAAAATCATTCGCTGTTTTATGGAAGGCGATAAATTTCCACCCACTAACCTGTACACCGTGTGCCAAATAAGACGATCCACTATACCCTGTATAAACCCATAGGAGGTACGGAAAAAAGTTTCTTGCACTCTCCTGGAGATTTAAAATATTATAATTTTGTTAATACGAGGTGTACCAAAAGTCCCCCAGCCCCGACATAATCTTAGTTATTTTAAATGGAATACCCTGTATATTTCGACATTTTTTGACTCCTTGGTTAAAATACTTAAGAAATTTATATTCGATTTTTGCATAGTTTAGGCAGAAATTGAGGTTATATTTTGCTTGCCCCATATATAAGGTTGTTCGGAAAGTCATTTCGTTTTTTCCCGTCAGAGGACTTAATTACGTTTCTTGAGAGCTGATATTGCAAGGCTTGTGTGTGAAAAAGTTCTATTAATTCTACGCAGTAGTTTTTGGTTGGTGCCCTTTTAAATATGGAGAGCAATAAGCACCCTTTTCGTCATATTTTACTTCTTTACTTCAGAAAAGGTAAAAATGCTGTCCAAGCGAGAAAAAAATTGACGGATGTGTATGGAGAAGGCGTGTTAACAGTACGCCAGTGCCAGAACTGGTTTGCAAAATTTCGATCCGGCAATTTTGATGTCGAAGATGCACCACGGTCTGGAAGGCCGGTCGAAGCTGACAAAGATGCGATAAAGGCATTAGTTGATGCATATCGGCGAATAACCACACGAGAGATCGGTGAGAGATTAAATTTGTCGAATTCGACTGTTTATGGCCATTTGAAAGGCATGGGCTTAACCTCGAAGCTCGATGTGTGGGTGCCCCATGTCCTTACGGAGCGAAATTTGTGTCGTCGCGTTGACGTGTGTGATTCGCTCCTCAAACGTCAAGAAAATGATCCATTTTTGAAGCGGATTATTACTGGGGACGAAAATGGGTTGTATACAACAATGTTAAACGCAAGAGGTCATGGAGCAGAAAAGATGAACCGGCTCAAAGCGTGTCAAAAGCCAACATTCACCAAAAAAAGGTGATGCTCTCCGTTTGGTGGGATGTCAAAGGAATCGTTTTTTTTGAGCTTTTGCCGGACAATACAACGATTAATTCAGAAGTCTATTGTCATCAACTGGACAAATTGAATGATTCACTTAAAGAGAAGAGGCCCGAATTAATCAACAGGAAGGGTGTAGTGTTCCACCAGGATAATGCGAGACCTCACACAAGTTTGGTCACTCGCCAAAAACTTTTACAGCTTGAATGGGACGTACTGCAACATCCACCATATTCTCCAGATCTGGCGCCTTCCGACTACTATTTGTTCCGGTCCCTGCAAAATTTTTTGGATGGCAAAACCTTTACCTCAAATGAAGATGTCAAAAACCACCTGAACCAGTTTTTTGCCAGCAAGGACCAAAACTTTTATGAGAGGGGAATTATGTTACTGCCAGAAAGATGGCAAAAGGTGTTGTACCAGAACGGCCAATATATAATTTAATAAAATATTTATTCATTATACGAAAACTGTCTTTCATGTTCCCCAAAAAAAACGAAACGACTTGCCGAACAACCCAATAAAATTGTGTTGTGTCGCTACTGATCCATAATGTTGACTATATTTAAATTAAGCTTACTTTTTGAGATATTCGAGGTTTAAGTGTCCATTAATACGTGCAAATTTTGAAAAAATCGACTCTACACTACACACTTTAACAGATTTAATAAAACTTCAGAATTCATATTTAAAGCAACATTCAATAGCTTGATTGAAAATACCTAATAACAAAGATAAATAATTAAAGTTTATGGGTTAACTAAAATACTATAACTTATTTAAAATACAAATAAAATATATACTAACAAAAAACTTAACAACTATGAATTTTTTAAATAGAAATATGAAAAAAAAAATAGAAATAAAAAAAACAAAACAGAAACAAACAGAAATGTCAGACTTTAGTTTATACCTTAAGCGTAAGGAAAAAGATTGTGATGTCCATATTTTGTGATGCAACTATATTTTTAAATATTTTGATATTTCTTTGTTGTTTTGATGCCAGATGAAACGAGCATCTTAAGAGCAACAGTTTTAACTAAACTTTATGGACCGAATTAATAAACCCCTTTTAGTTAACTTTTTTTTTATAGATTTATCCATTCAAATTTGTTACCTGGGTTAGTTAGCTTATATACTTTAATTTTAAACTTTACTTATTTTTGTTATTAGATATTTTCAATCAAGGTAAATAATTAATAATTTTGTTTGACATTTTTTACGTTATTCACCGTTCAATTTTGAATAAACAATAAACTTTTGTTTTCCAAATGTTTGTTGAGAATGATTATGGGCGACTATACAAAAATCATTTAAAAACATTTTTATCCTCTCTCCCATAACGAAAATATTCAGTATGGAGCCTAGAAGAAAATTTAAAAGTCTATGGTGCATCTCGAAAGCAAGTGAAAAAATTCTTTTTCCCTTGCATCACGTTTTTCTTAAGAAAGTGTTCAAACCATGTACTAATCCTAAGATCATGTTGTGCTTTACACATAAAAATAGAAAATCTAACCTGTTATATTTTACGTTTCTAAATGAAAAACATATCCGTCCAATCTTACTCATTTGTGGGACATCCTATATACATGAAAATAAATTTAAGTTAGTTTCGGTTAGTTCTGGGACACCCTGTATGTTTAACTACGGACTACCATTCTCGTAGCGGTACGACGGGTATCCTTGTAGCATTTTTGATAGGAAAATTACATTTTTTCGATATCGACTTTCTTACCTGGGCGTTGGTCGTGAATAAGTCGGATCTGGACATGCCCGGCTTCCTGGGTACCCCCGCGGGTACCACCACCACGTCCGCCCCGCATATCGCTTCCGAATGGTCCGTGCCGGTAAAGAATACCATTTTGCAACTGGTCTCCACGTGGGATAAGTCCGCCGTGACCCCCGGGACGTCGACCAAGTCGTGTAGCCTCAGTTCTGAGATCGCAGGGTTGAGTTTCAGCAGGAGCGAGAGCGGTTGTCCGACTCCTCCTGCCGCTCCGATCACCGTAACCGTAAACCCGTCCTTGGCGCATTCCGAGGAATACCTCCTGGCGATTTTCGGCGCTAACACTCTGAGCAATTTCGCGGAAATCATTTCGAACCGGGAATTTTCAGTTTGACGGCTGACGTCGGCTGGTGCGGCACTTGGTTACTTTGTACCATGGTATACCTCATTAGTAATTACCACGACACAAAAATGCACAGGCGTGAGCAGTAAGATGACATTTTTGTTAGGTTAGTTTTTATTTTATAGCAAAAAATTGTGTCTCATTAAAGTAAAATGGGGAAGCAATTTGAGAAGTTTCAAAACATGTGGACATGGCAGATTAATGGCAAACATTTTTATTAATTAAAAATCAAGTAATCCCAATGTGCTATTTCAAGATGACAAAATTATATACAAATGAGTAGTAGTAGAGTAGTAGAAATGAGAAGAAGCAATCGAAGATAATTTTTTCAAACAGATGTTTTACAGATTTCAGGTGGGAAACTTAAAAAAAAAACAAGTTTTAATTGAAAAATCTTACAACGTTCTCTACGCCCATTATCCCTAAATTTCTTGATGTATTAATTAATCCTATACTTTGCATAATTTTTTTCTTTCTTGTGAATTTTTGATAACAATTTTTGGGGTCCCGTAAAGGTAATTTAATTAAAAAATGCCCGTTAGTAGATACCACATTTTTTATTTTAAAATTAGATCTACCTTCACTAAATTCTTAATTCAACCTAAAGTATCAACAATGATCGTTCCTTTGTTTTTTTTTAGTCAAAAATTAATACGAACACGATTACGTTTTGGCAAATTAGGCAAGAAAAAATCAAAATCAATATTGTGTGTTAAAATTTTTGTTTGTAAAGCCTTTGCAATTATTAAAAATTAATATATATGCATTATTATGGAGGCTATTTGAAAAAAAATGTTTTTAAATAAAGTTTAACGCTTTGCAGAACGTTATTTGAAAATGAAAGATAAGATAATCATTAGTAATTAAATATCACAGCAAATCGAAAGATCGCAATTTTACATAAATATCAATCGGAATCGAAAACTAATATTATATTTAGAAATTTGCATTATGCCTGTACTAGATTCTAGACAAAATATCTCAAGATCTAGTAATAACTGCCAAAGATTATATTTTAAAGGAGTATGATATAACAAAGTTACTGCGTTGATATTATTTGTTCATGAAATTCTTATTTCGCATAGGATACAGTGCCTTTAACATCAATCCAAGAAGTAATATTTAACGAATCAACCTTTGATTGTTAACAAGAGGGTACCACAGGGTAGTATTTTAGGTTCACCTCTGTTTTTTTCATCCACATTATTACAGTTTAGTGATTATCATATTTATGACACTCAACCGTATCTTTCTTTTCTGAGCAGGCAACAGTATTAATTCTGATTTGAACAGATTTTACAATATTGTCACTGAAAACATGCTTGCACTTAATCCTGATAAATCCGCATCGATGATATTTGGAAATGACAATCAAATTGATAATACTAAATGCAAGGATGATGCTTCAAAATAAATAAAAAACAATATAAATGCACTGATGTGTTGAGCAACGTCAGTAGCTGGTTTAACAGTAATAGTTAGTTTTTAAATCCCGATAAGACAATGTTTTTAAGATTCTACCATCTTCAGAAAATATGTTCTACTCTCATGATTCTCCAGTAGCTCAGTCTCAAAATCTTAACTATAAGCATCACTACAAGTTCCTGATTTCTCGATTGAACTCGCATATGCGCACTGTACTGAAGGAGCGATACGCAATAATACCACGAGCTTGGTCTATACAATTGACAGAAGTGTTTTTAGCAAAGAAAAGAGTGATCGTTGCATTGACGGGATACCGAGTTCTCATTCTAGAAGAAATTTATTTAATCAATACGGTATCCTCACCTTACAAACTTTGTTTACATTTGAGTTCTGTATATGTGTGTTTAAAAATAAAAATAATAACTTTTTTTTAAAGAATGATATAGATTTTTTTAACATCAGACAGCAATATAAAATTCATATACGTTTTGCCAAATATAAAAAAAATTTAAGATCACGCGGTACGCTGGGGCTGCGGGTCTTTAATCGCCTTCCTGATGAGACAACTCTTTGACAACTTTTAAAATAAGATTAAAGCAATATCCATTTGACCATTTTATACAAATGTTTAAAAAAATCTATGTGTGGAAACGTATTACTGTTATTATTATTACAACATAAAATTCTCTATAGAGAACCCTTTTTCTAGCAGTTCCAAAAGATTTATTCTATATTCTCGGCTAAAATTTAGCCGGTACGTTACAAGCAGGTTAAAAATTCCATACAGTAATCAAAAATTAATTTATGAAAGTCGTCAGTGTCTCTCACATTGTAACAGCTTATTCGTGCCTTGTCTTGATAATATAGATAAGTGTCGTATTCAAAAAGTCAAAAGCTCTTGTGTTAGACTGGTATATGGAGTTGAAAATAGAACTCATATTTCACCATATCCGCACAACAAAATTCGATTTCGGACGGACAGCCAAAATTTGACTCTCCGTAGACGGCTTCTGCTTGCTGTGAAAACAGTATCTGAAAAAGTCCTTTTCATAATAAATTGTAAATATGATTAATCAACATGTCTGTCTCCTTAATAGACTTTAGACAAATAAATTTAAAATTTGCCTTTAGGATAAGCAAAATCCATGTTAGCCAGATTTCGGTTTCGTTTCCACCTAATTACTTAGATAATCCCTCGTCCTTAAATTCCTTCCACTTACACTCCAATGGTCGCTTGTTCCCCTGCATGTTAATTTAAAGTTAAATTTCTTTCTTGCTACTAAATTTTACTTTGATATTTTTTTAGTAAATAACTCTTTGAATTGGGTGATTAGTAAAATAATTAAAATGTGGTGTATACTACTACGTAAGAGAAAGTAGTTAGAAAACTTAATCTGGTTGAGAAAAAGGGATGGGACTTTTAGCAATACATTCTACACACTCAAAGAGTTTGAAACTGTTATGAAGATCGATAAAAAGAAAGTTTTTTGATTTTTGAATTGATTTTTTTAATTATTATGCTATTTTGTTCGTTCATGTGATTTTTAACTTTTCACTTTTGTAGCTAGATTTTAGACCTTTTTTTGTATTATACCGTTTTCTATCCTAGATTTTGGTGATGCAGTTACTTGTTGGTATCCGTATATTAACAAAAATAATATTGTATATCTAAATGAGGTCGATCTTATATTTTTTTAGTTAATTGATGGCAATAAACATATTTAGTATTGAGCATCCTTTGACGTTTAGACTGTGATTTTGTTGTTGGCTATATCATCAGAAGGGCTTTGTGCATCTATCAGTGCTAGGATTAAGTTTTCAAGGCTTATAATTAAATAGGTGCGAGCGATGACCACGACCGTTACGGCCACTTCGACCAATTGAAATCGTGCATTCTGGGCAGCAGAGGCGCCCAACTGGACGTGTTTCTGCGCAGACGGCTGGCGTGCTGCCCGCGGGACGCGCAGTCCGCTCGCAAGCTCAAAGGGGTCTACTGGAAATTGCTCGTCTTCGAGATGTTGTACTTGTGGAACGCGATGGCCAGCTGCGGCGCTCGCGGGATCGATCAAATCCTCGAAGGTGGATCTGGTGGTGACGTCGCTTCCTACCTAACAACGCTGTTACAGATTGTAACAGCGTGGAAGGCCCCGAGGACGAGCCGATGAAAGGTTTGACGAATTTCGTCAGAGGGATGTGCTTTTGTATCGGGAAGAGTGAGGAAGAAGCAGCGGCGTGCTTCAGGAAGTGCCTGGACGAGAGGAAACACGAGGAGATGAGCGCCGAAGACGCTCACATCTCGGCTTTCGCTCAGTTCGAGTTGGGGTATTTGCTCGTTCAAAAAGAAAGGGTAAGGAAAGCATCGGCTCCTTTCTTCTTGGGCGTCTTCCATATTTTATTAAATTAAAAATAGTTGTTTATCCATTTTAATTAAAACGACTTTTTTCGATTTTGTCGCCCTTTCTCGCCTAAATTGGTGTATAATTTAGAACTAATAATATTATTCAGATACAGAGGATGATCTTAAAATCAGTGGAAAATTACTTCAATCAACACTTGAGCTGGTTTAAAGAGATGTCACACGGTGAATGAAGAGAAAACAGCTTTTATGCCATTTTCGTGCATATACAAACATTAAACAATGAACAACATTCAATAAAGTCGACAGTGTAAATATAAAAGTTGTAGGGTCTGTCTTGAATTTGCAGTTCCCGCCAAGTTAAACAAACGAACTTTTGGAAAAAAAGAAAAAACTATACATATTCTTAACTATAACATAATATGTGTTTTCCACTATATGTCTCTCACATTTGAAATACAATCAAGAAAATATCAAAAACAAAAGAAAACCTAACTTCGAAATAGAATTATTTGAGACTGCTATAAAAATTGGAATCAATTTTTGAATAAAAAAACTCGACATAAAGTTAGAAATGAGAAAAAAGTTATGAAAACAAAGCAAAAATTCGCAGACTTTTGTTTCATTTCGGTTACAGACCAAAGACGAGGGCAAATCGCTGCTTCAGCAGGTCAGCAGGTACAGCAACTACGATTTCGAAGCGAGGTTGACCGTGAGGATACATTCCACATTGAGATATTTATAAAGAGCTTCAAAAGTCCGACAATATTATAGCGATTTACTTCTCACGCATGCGGGGTGTAAAAAGTTGTCCGGCCCTGTATTTTAGGGCCGACGAGTCCGTGTTAGGGTTTTTGGTATCTAGTATGAGCTGTCATGTAAGTTGTAGAGGGGAGCTTTGGACGTCAAATTTTATAACACAGTGATTAGGTAAACAGATATTTGTAATTGCAGATAGAAGCATTTTTCACGAAACATATATTTTTTTAGAAGTACCGAAAAAATTCAAAATTCAATTTCTATTTTAGACGCCTTCTTCATTTTTGAGTTATTTGAAAAAGTTGAAATACGCCACTGTGAAAAACTATTATCGTAGTATTAATTACCACAATAATACAGAAGCAAAATGAAAATTTCGATCCAAAGTTCAATAATAATAGTATTGGTAATAGATACACAGATTTTAAGCGAGAGCTAGTCAGTTTGATAGTGCAACGTTTAGTAATATATTCTGTTAAAGGAATATATATTGTATGTGGCAATAAGTACATGGAAAAGGTAGACGGTACCTATTTCAAATAAAAGATACGATTCAATCGTCCCATCTCTAGTCTGTGTCGAGAACTTACTTTCAGGTGTTCCTTCCAGTCTCGCATGGAAGGCTTTGAAAGGGCGGTGTTGCCAAAACAATGTTTTAATACCAATTTCCCATTTTTTGTTAGTTTTATTTTTCATTTGGACAGTTTGAATTTGCTTGTTAATTTGATGTTATTGGTGAATAATATCTTCAATCCCAACTTAGTGACGAACGCCAAGATGGTCGATTTCTGGTAAAAAATTGTTCTTCTTAAAACACTAATAACAAGGAATGTGATCAACGCTGTTACACTAAACCCAAAAAGATATTTGAACGGCGATTCTACTGTAAGAAAGCTGACAGTATCCCCCCTGTTGCAACGTTTTTCTTTAAATGGTACATTTTTTATCGTATTATGTTTGTTTACTAAAAAAACACCCCGCATCATCTTGCATTCACTTTTGTCGCAAAATTTTTCCGTCCACGAAAAGAAAAACCCGAAGTTATTTTTACTATTTAATACCCGAACAATATAATTACTAAGAATAAATTTATTGTTAAAAGTCAATGTAAACTTTACAAAAATAAATAAGCTACGCAACAATTAAGTCCGTTTTTACGCAAAACTACGGTCTACCGCTTTCCAATCTCCCGTGGACCCTAAACCTGGAACAGAAATTCGCGAACTCCTGCAGGACGACGGAGAAACAACTACGAGACTCACCTATACACGCAAGTGAAGTCCGGATTGCCGTGGTTGCTCAGTATTCTGAGCTCGATGTATTCGAAGATTTTTACTGCGGAACGCGGAAGGTCAAACGTCTGGACCAGCGGGCCATCCGTATCGTAAACAAACTGACCTAGGAGCTGACCCCGATCACCGGGAGCCTTCAAACCCTATAAAAATTGTTATCAACAATAAATTTTTTCAAATCGCCGCACACTTCCTTGCTTAGTGGTGGAGATTTAAATCCCGTTTTGGATTTAAAAATCCAAAATATAAAAGAAAATGATAGATTTTTGATAATTCTTATTGGCTCATTATTTTATCATCTTAGTTCATTTCAAAAATGTGTTATAATAGTAATAAAGATAAATTACAAGTGTGCCTCAAAATATTGTTTATCAATCTACAAAAAGGGCTTATTTTTAAAAAAGAACACAAATTAATGATGGTTTTAAAATATGGTAGTTTAATTTAATTTAATTTTTTGATACCTATGACTGAAAAAAATACCTTCTCTTTTTTAATGGCCCTTGTTACTTTCGAAAAATCGAATAGAAAGTATCTACGCTCGTATAAAAATTTTATATCTCGGTAACGGTAGGTCCTATGGGATCGCCATTGTTACAGAAATGATCAGCGTCGAAAAAAAAATATTTTGTTTGTCTGTTTGTCCATTCCCTGTTCTCGTCTTTTGGTTTTTCCTGAATAACTTTCGAACCATTGGAGCTACAAAATTGAAATTTGCCTCCACGAGATACATAAGCCTCTAAGAAATGGTTTCGGTCCGACGCCGGCATCCATTTTTTTTGTGATTTTCGCCTGTTTTTTGAACATTACTATGATACAGGGTCTACAAAAAAAACCATTTTTCAAAAACCGTTTACAAGACCGAACAAATTTTTGAACCAGGAGATGCAGAGGATACGGCTCTATTAACTTTTATTCTTGACAATTTTTCAAAAATATACAGGGTACGCCGCAAATTCAAAAAAAGTGAAAAATGAGTCTCCCTATTATTCAAAATTGGCAATAATTTAAAATGTGTATTTTAAATGTCAGTTTCTTTTACATGGCGGTATAGACAGTTAAAACTTTTGTATTTAAGAGTTTTAAGTATTGTACAGGCTGTTCGCGATATTCCGTGCAATATTAAAAAACGTAATAAGTGTACCAAATTTGCAGCTACCGCCTTCAGACTTGGTAGAGAATTAGAAGTCCGGACCCGTATTTAGACTCTTTAAATTGGGAGCAATAAAATAACCCGAAGTATTTCTTTCAAATTTTTGATTTTTTTTTATTTTGGCTTCCAGAAAAACATCTTTTCCTCCATTCATCTGATAGGAAAAATTTTACAACCGTAATACGTGGAAGATTCGGCGCTATAACTTTTGATTCACGCATTTTTTCGATTATATACAAGGTGTTTTAGTTATGGACGAAAATCTGAGAGACCCTGAAAATTGTTCTATAAAATAAAATAGCTATTCCGTTCAAATAGTGTTATTCCCGATTTCAAGTTCTACCATTTTTGTATTAAGATTTTCGTCTGTCTATGCTGCTCGAGATATTTGGAAAAATCCATTTGAAAATCGCAATATCTCACACTCAATCTAGACGTCATTTACTATTACGGTGTACTGTATGGTTTTAGAAAAGAGGTATTTTCTCGAAAACTATTTATCCTATTGAAAAAATTCAGATACCGGGAAACGTGGGAGATCCAGGGATATAACTTTTACTTGCGGCATTTTTTGGATTATGTGCAGGGTGTGTCGATTATTTGTAAAGAAAACAAAGAGATTTTGAAAATTGCTGTTTTCGTGGGTAAATCATTAGCCCTAAATGAAAAACTATAAAGCATGGGATAATTTGGTTTAAACAGTGTCGAGAGAGGGTTGTAAGTTTCGTCTATTAGACAGGGTGCGCCAGATATTTGAAAAACTATAATAATTATTTATAAAAATAGTTTGCCGTAACTTTGAAGTTCACCGAGATGTGAAAGACACTTCATTCGGGGTGCATGCACAATAAAATTATATTGATTTTGCGAAAGTTCCATAGTGGTCCGCACGATGGAAAAACAAGGCGTTCTTCTAAAATAAGAAACTACGAAGCTGCTTCTTTTGGAAATAAAAAGCTGCGTCGCGCTACTCAGAGACGATTTTTCGAAAGCAATGTTGTTCGTTATATTTTTTTTAAATGTTACGAAAAGGATCGTAAGTTGGTTCAGAATGCTTGACTGAAATTTCGGTGTACCATGTGTGCAAATTACAATAACAATAAAGACAAATTATGAAAGTTCCTCAAAATGTTATCCATCGTTCTAGAAGAAAGTCTCCTCCTTTAAAACGAACAGAAAATAACTCTAGTTAAACATAAAGTACGAATGCATTACTAATTTTTTAAATGCTGATACTCTAGCATAAAACACCCGGTAGACCAAGGCTGATTATTTTTTAAAAGTCAAATTAAACTACAACATCTCATTTCAACCATATAAGCACAGACCACGTATAACGTAAGACATTTGACTTGGACGCATGCGTTAGACTATACGGAAAAGGCCGCAGCGTCATACCCAAACTGCGAAATCTTTAGGGGCGGTACTAGAGTCACCCGACGGCGATATGGTCTTGGATATGTGCTCCATGCTGACGGCGTCCACTCTGACGCTGCCCAGGAGTTTGATAATTGCGCCGCCACTGGATCCCTTCAGCGCCCAGCATTCTCCGGGTGACGATCCGGTCTTGAATCAACCAGTTCAAAATTAGTAGGTGTAGTTTGAAATTAAAATGAAAGAAATAGTTTTTATAATATAACATAAATGGGAACCCACCACATGATAAACATTGTATCGCTAGAAGGGTGGGAGAGCTTTTGCCAGTTTTTTAGATTGTGGGCAGTAAAACAAATCTATTACAGCGAGTCTCTGTCAGTAACGATCTAAGTTTTTTCTTAATTATTTATAAGATTGCTAACGTCGAAAGCAATACCTGTTAATTGTAAAGAAAGACGTAGTTACGAAAGTAGCGACGTGAGTGTGAAGCATCCTTAAGGACACGAGGTCGAGTTTAAGTATAACATGGTTGCGACTGGTGATTGCGATACTAAAGGTCGCAGTGTCATCGGCCAAGATGTCGAATACACATTCATATGTTTGCGAATATGTACCTGGATCATGGACCTTGGTCCGTGAACGCCCTCGCACAACGATATGCCCAGCAGCGAGTTTTTGGGTTGCCCGTAATTTTCCGTACCGGCCGTTACTTGCACGATGCTCCCACCTGTAGGCATTTTAAGCAAATAATCGTTCCCTATATATAACAGGGGAATATAGATTGCACAATCATTAAATCGCATTGGGTGGCCATTCTTACGCACAAACTTAAAATCGTTACCATAACCTCTCTTTTTTTGATTTGGATAGAAAGTAGTTTTGGTTAGTTTGGAAGAAAATAATAAGTTTCCGGATTTTTGTGACGCAAACGGGGGTTCCAAGCGTTCTTTATGAGTTCTTTGGCCGAAGAAAGTGGCTACCACGAAAAACTAACAGAAATACTGGGTGCATACGATATTTGAGGACATTCATATATGCCGCTGTAATTTACGGAGAACAATTTTTTTGTTTTTTTTTTCGTAGAGTCATGCAGTTATCTTCGCTATATGCGCGAAACTCACCGATTTAGAAATCTCCAATTTTCTGAACTGCGCCCGATAAGTGCAAGAGATCGTTCACGAAATCCCTTCAAATTCCACCAGGACCATTGCGATAGACCCTAAAGTGTCCGTCGAGTTGTCCACGAAGACCTCCACTATAAGTCCTACATTATGAGCAGAGGACAGTTTGTGGCGGCATAAACCCGGAATCGAAGACAAGACACAAGACTGGATGGCCGAAAATTTTTATGACCACATCACCCCAAACTTATGGCCACCTAGCTCTCCGGATCTTAATCGCCTTGATTATTACGTATGGGATGCAGTTGAGAGAGAGAGAGACCAATAAACATCCCCATAACAGTATTTCATCGCTGAAGGATGACAATCGCAATGATCAACATGAAGAAAGAGCATTTGATTCGGGCATACATGCGCGGATTGAGTCTGGGGATTTTATTGAATAATTCTATAGTCTAAGAGTCAATTAACGTTATGATATGAATATGAATAAATAAATTTTAATATCAATTTGTCCTCAAATGTCGTACGCACCCCGTAAATTAAAAATATGAACAGTGAAGAAATAAAACACCACTTGTGTCTTGTCTTTTCTTTTAATACTTTTGATCTTTTTTTTTTAAATTCCGTTGAAAACTTCTAACCACACTTTTCACGACGACAGTGGTTGGGTCGTGCTTGCGTATTAAAATGGCCGCGGTTATTGCGTCTGTTAAATGAAACGGTAGCCTTACCTGCCGACTCGAGAGCAAAATCGGTTTTTCCGGTTTTGTCGGAGTAGAGTTTCTCGATTTCGCGCTGTACGAGAAGCTGCGTGCTCGTCCTCAGGTTTTCTGGGGCGCGAAACGTCGAGTTAATACAGTGTGTTTCAATATTTCGCTCGAAATCTTTAACAGCTGGTTCTACCATTAACGTGGCACACAAATTAAGTTTAAGTTTATTATTTTTTTTTAATGGTTTAGTCCCGTCTGCTAAAGTTTGCCGTTCAAATTTTGAAACAGCCCGTATGTAGGTAACCCTTCACGAACACTACCTTGCGTTTCGGCGATTTTGTGAACTTTATATAGAATATCCATCCGTGCGTCGAGCAGTTCCTTAACGCTTATTTTTAAGTTTTCTACGTCGTTACTGAGATGCGTTACTTGGTACCTTACGTGGTTCACGTACCACCCCAACACTACTAAAATGGTTCACGAACAAGCAACGTTTTAGCAGATTGCCCCGACCCGTCCCGCACCTACGACTAAAGCCCATCCCATTACCCTGGTGACCGTTTCTCGTCGTCTTTCGCTTCTCTGATCGCAAATTACCCTGTCTGCGATACCGATTCGTACCCTCGCAAACATATCGAGTGTTTCGATGTCCAACCGTGCCGGTGAGGTGTCGTCGCTGGCAACACTCGAGGAAAACACAGAGCTTCCTTCTAATTCATCAAACACCCGCGAGTTTGATGGAGTGCGCAGCAGTTTTGCTAAAACCGGGACGCGTTATAACGAAGGGTTAAGTTCAAGTTTTGACAGCGAACCTGATAACCGGGTGTTATATCGGTGGCATGCGGCTGGCCAGTAGCTATCTGCAAGAACACACGTTGACGTTTAGATCGTAAAGAATGTTGGGAGCTACAGCACCTATATCCTTGAGCTTATTGGCAGGGTTCGTTTTTGAATAAACCATACTGTCACACTGACAGTTAGATATACTATACCTAAGTTTTTTTATAGTCCAGTATATGCATACTTAATTATACTCTGTTTCCGAGCAGGGTAGCAGGGTGCAAATAATCGAAGGGCCAGTGTGGGGTTAAATTTATTTTTTCTTTTTCGATAAGTGTAGGTCAGCGCATAATTTTTGTATACTCACTATCAATATAGTCATAATCTGTTACATTATAGTGGATTCGAATAGATGAAATAGGAAGAATCGTTACTGACCAAAAACTAAATTTCAAATTACTGTGGGCAAACCTTAACATCCTAATCAAAAATTTATTGGAAAGTCGTTAAATGTTTGAGCGCAATCCAACTAACCAAAACTAACCAAAATCAAACTAAGCAAAACATTGGGCTATTCCGCTTAAAAACTATAGTTCTAACGTTAATCACTTATGGTATATGCGGTATATGCGTATGCATCTCCAAGTTGAGTATAACAGTTATTAATTGTTTATAAAGCAAACTGGATTAATTTTTCATGTAGGCTAAGATGGAACTTAAATATTTATAATATAAGTCTGCATATACCACTAAATTAAACGTCCTGTATAATATAGCAGCGCAAATATATTATCTAGTAAATGCACATTTTTCTATTAAACACTCGCGATATACGCTATAAACATATTTTCGCAACTTTTCCCATGGCAACATATGGTTAACACATTGACGTTGGTATCAGAGCCGCGATACTGAATATTTTGAACAAAATCTGTGATCCCGATCGTGACCCCATCAGTACCCCCAGCGAACATAATAAAACAATTATTTCAGAATCCGATATTCTCCATCCTTGACTTAAATAACTAAAAGGTTTTGCTTGAACGTATCGAATCTTTACCCAAATATACTTTTATTTATTCAAATTGAACAGGATAAAACATTTGTTATGGATTTTCTGCAGGTAAAATTGTATTACTTCTTGTTAATTAATTATTCATATATATTAGTAGCTATAGATTTATCACCACTCATTTTATTCTTTTAAAGCAAGATTAAATGGAAAAATTCCAAGACTGACATTTTTGATTAGAATTGTTTACACAAATGATATTAGAATCAGGCAACAGCATAATATATTATTAAGCCCGGGAATAAATCTGTTGATCGCTATTTTCCGAGACGATAACAAATTTTATTATTAACTTATTATTGGTTTGAACTTGATCTCCCAGCCTCGTTATCGGACCCCCTATGGGCTGAATAATCCGAATGCTGGCGTATGTTTCTCATTATTTGGATTACGCGGTTTCTTTCGTCCAAAAAACATTCGGGCGTAATGGTTAGGACATAATTACCATCGATGTTATATCACGGACCAGCAGATAAAAGCGCAGACTATGGAACTTCGCACAGGTTATGTCATCACCGAAATGACAGCAAAATAAAATAAACGCAATATTCTTATCTGAATAAAATCATTTAATAACAATGCAAATTTTTGACACAGTCGTAAATTCAACGTGAAATGCAATTTTCTTTAGACGGAACGCAAGATGTAGACCAATTCGTGGGGGGTCAAAACTTGACCCGAGAGAAAAACGAATTTTTAGCCGACGTAAGTAGAACAGATAACGAAGGTCGAAGGGTCAGTTAAACAAGATTCGGATAAACGTCGTCGGGCTGCCAAACAGACCATTAGCGTTATCATTCGTTGCCTTGGTGTATGGTTTCTATATAAAGACCCCCATATCAACAGGAACGTTATTAGTGCGTCTCTACAAAACTAAAGTAACGCTGCTTGCGATATTTTCGGGTAGTTTTCCCGCGTTCTATCATTACGTATTGGGCAATATTTCTTCAGTTGTTTTTTCTTTACGTTTTGTAAATTGATATAAATGGTTCCGTTTCTCAGCGTCGAGAGAATGAGCGTTTCAAATAAATTTCGTGTGAATCCTATTTACTATTCCGACTATTCCGATACGAACTAAGTTTCGTCCCATCGGGAGGATAGAAAAGTTTTCGTTTTATTTTATTTTACCATGGATATCGTTAGTAGTGTTAGTTATTCCTAACCAGAGGTGAACAGGCGGTCTACATAATGTTTCATTTGTATTGCAGTATCCCGTAGTGAAAGCCTTTTTAGCAGGTTCATTTTCTGGAACATTTTCCACAGTCCTGTTCCAGCCTCTTGATCTAGTGAAGACCCGTCTTCAGAACACCCCGACCGCCATAGTAAAGTAAGTTGGTCTGCCTGTGAAACAGCTTTCGGGCAGCTCTAAATTACTTTTTTTATAGCGGACGCCATGGGAGTGTTAGTATGCTCGGCATATTTCACAATATACTTCAACAGGAGCACTTTCGCGGCCTGTGGAGGGGAATGACACCTGTGAGTAGGGTTGTCGATGTTAATTACAACCAGTACAGCGTTTTTGTTTGCTTGCAGTCTATCACACGCACTGTACCCGGGGTGGGACTGTATTTTTGCACACTGGACTACATAAAGACCAATTATTTCCAAGGTCGAACTCCAACTGCCTTAGAGTCAGTAACTACTGGCTTCCTAGCTCGGTGCATGAGTGGAGCCATTCTCATACCAATAACAGTAGTCAAAACTAGGTAAATACTGTACTTTTTAGTATTCGGCAACATTTTTAGTATAGAAGTGCGATTTTTTGCAGGTTTGAGAGTGGTGTATACCAATACGACGGTGTCATCTCTGCGTTGAGGCAGATTTATCACACCGAAGGCCTGAAAGGAATGACCTGTGGTCTGGTGCCAACTTTAGTGAGAGATGCTCCATTTTCTGGCCTCTACCTCATGTTCTACACTCAAACCAAGCTCCTAGTTCCTGATGAGATACTCAATTCTGCTTACTCGTCGCCAGCTCATTTTTCCTGTGGAATCGTAGCCGGTGTGATGTCATCCATTGTTACCCAGCCGGCTGACGTATTGAAAACCAAAATGCAACTCTATCCGCACAAGTTCTCCGGGTTGTGGTCCGTCACCATTTACGTGCACAACAATTATGGTATCAGGGGTTATTTCAAAGGCATGGTACCGAGAATGCTGCGCCGCACCCTCATGGCTGCGATGGCATGGACCGTGTATGAACAGGCTTCTAAAGCCCTGGGGTTGAAGTAGCACAGCAGCACGGGGCGGGTAATCGGGTTTGGAAGCTCTTACCTTACAAATTTCAGTAATCGCGTCTGCGTCCGCGAAAATTTCGCTATTCGAGTGTTTTAGGAAGGGAACCACAGTGTTCCGTTTTGGTCGGTAACGGTGCACGGTATACCGTTAAGTGATGGTTAGTTGCAAATGGTTGCTACAATTTTGCTGTGGTATTGATATTTCAAATCCGTGGATTCGGTGTGGTAAACCGCTTTGCTATGCTGCTTCAAAATATTTAATGGTCTATACAGAGATTTACTTCGTTAATAAGGCTAATATTAAGGGGTAATCGGCAAACGATATTGTATGGCGTCATACAGTATTCGGTTGTGATATATTGTTATATATATATATATATATATATATATATATATATATATATATATATATATATATATATATATATATATATATATATATATATATATATATAATGTGATTTTTATATACATATGTTATATCGTGGGCAAATTTGTTGTCTAATAAATATTTATTTTAAACCTCGTTTTATTGAGTTTCAAAATATAATTTAGAATACTAAACAATTTTTTTTATGACAGCATTTTATACGCTAGTCCTCGGTCTTCCATTTAATCTATTGTTCTGCGCTTTTTTTTCCTGGGTCTATATTTATCCACCACCACGCTCGACGGCTCTTTCGCCGCTACTACGGTCAGCGCGTCGTCGTCTCTACCGTTGTACAACTGCAAACACAAACTCAAGCCCCTAAGTCCCCCCGCCCACGATAATAGCGCCAGTGTTCCCCGGTTGTGGTCTGTGACCATTTACGTATATAACAATTACGGTAACGGGGGTTTTTCAACGGCATGCTACCGAGAATGATGCGCCACACCCTCATGGCTGCGATGGCATGGACCGTGTATTAAAAGGCTTCTAAAGTCTTGGGGTTGAAGTAGCACAACAGCACAGTGCGGGTAATCGGGTTTCGAAGCTCTTACCTCACAAATATGCGCGAAACTTTCAAGTGTTCAAGTAAGGGAACACCGTATTGGTCGGAACGGCCACGGTATACCGTTAGGTGATGGTTTGTTGCGAATGGTAGTTTCATTTTTACTGTGGTATTGATGTTTCAAATCCGTGAAATTGGGTGTGGTAAACCGCTTTTCTGTACTGCTTCAAAATATTTAATTGTCTATACAGAGATTTACTTCGTTAATAAGGCTAATATTAAGGGGTAATCGGCAAACAATATTGTATTCGGTTGATATATTGTTATACATTTGTGATTTTTATATGCATATATCGAGGGCCAATTTGTTGTCTAATAAATATTTATTTTAAACTTCGTTTTATTGTTTTTTTTTTCAATATAATTTAACATAAATACTACAGATTTTTTTTATTTAAAACATTTTATACGCTAGTCTTCGGTCTTCCATTTTTTCCATTGCCCTGCGTTTTTTCTTTAGCGGGTCTATATTTATCCACCACGACGCTCGACGGCTCTTCCAACGCGACCGCCGGTCCCTTTTCGGCAGCTACCGCCCTCAACGCTTCGTCGTCTCTACTCTTGTACAACTGCAACCACAAACTCAAGCCCGTAAGTAATCCCACCCTCGGCAATCGCGTATACGTGGCCGTCAGTGCCGCGAATCAACGTGTCCTTGACCGGCGCGATTTCCGGGCCCCACTGCTCCAGAAAGTGCCCTGTGCGCATTACCCTCTGCTCAGGAGTTGTAATGGTGTGGCTTCCTCCACAGTATCGGTTACAAATATGGTCGGCGCTTCTTTACAGGAAATATAATAAAAAAATTGAATACCGTTGCATCTTATGAGGTTAGAATGTCTTCGTAATGAACGTCTTTTTTGCCATATAATATTAGATGCTTTTCATTATATTGTAAATGATTATGATTGATGTAGTAGACAGTCTGTCCCACTTGAGAACTGTGCACCCTTATAAAATCTTCGTTTATGGTTCGATTTTGATAATTTTTTTTTGTTGGATAGGTCTCTGAAAAATGCACTAAAACCTTCTTTTGCTTATTGCTTCAACTTGCTCTTTTGTTAAATAGTCTCGGTTGGCCTTGACTAAGTTGAGGCAATAAGCAAACCAAGGTTGTAGTAAATTTTTCAGAGACAAATCCAAAAAAAAAAAAAAATTAAACTCGAAGCAAGGGTGTACAGTTCTTAAGTTTTTAAAATTAATCACAGACCACAAAAATGTAACGCAAAAAGCAGGCAAATTATTACACAAATTACAGACACATTCTAACTTCACAATTTAAAACCGAATCATCACGCACAGGTGAGTATTTTTCGCAGACAGGATCGCGCGTTCAAACATATTTACATTCTTTCCGATGGGCAACCTGAAATTATCGCGCATTCAAATTTCGCATTCGCGAATCACCTCTAAAGTTTACGTTTTCTGCTGCTTGCGCAACTGATCCAGTTCGTACGCCAAATAAGGCCCAGCGTTTTTCGACGGAGGCATCGAATAGGGCCTAGGGAACATGGTGACGTCGGTCTGTTTGCGCATCACCACGTCTGCGTCGCACGATATACAATTGACGTTCCTGAAACGTTACCGACCGTGTTCATTAGTGATCCGTGATTCCTCGCCACCCATATTATTTGCCTCAGATATTTGCTCTTCGCACCGGCAGCCTCGTGCTCACGCTTCATCGAAGACATTTTCTTCACTTTCTCCTGCACCGCTTTCAGTTTATCGTTAATGAAATCTTTAAGCGGAACCAGGTCCACTTTGTCGAGTTTATTGCCGATTTCTAGCTGCACCTCGTTCAACGACTGTGTCCATATTTCCTCCTACATGGCACACGTACTCAGACCACAGAACGTATATACGGTCCGCGACGTTACCTGTCTGCGAAGTTTCTCGATGTTGTCCTCGAGCGCCTGAGACAATTCGTTCCATGCGGCGTCGAATTGCTCGTGCGACACTTTCCTGTTGATCTGACAGGCGTCTGCTTTATCGGCCAACGCGTCCTCGAGGTCTTCGCGGTCCGCCTTCACCGTTTTCAGCAGCTCGATCTGCTCCCGCATCATCTGCAACGCGATTTTAACCCTTTGCACTTTCGCTAGTACACTGTACTCGGACTATTATTTTATCTACTTATCTGTCTACTGATCTTTTAATATTGGATTTTTTTTTAATTAAAAAAAATCACTTTATAAAAACTATGGGATTTTTTATTATTAAATTAATTCATACGCAATATAAAAAAATTACATCTTATAATGTAGTGTATGGTACCGTTCGAAGCAGTCACCAATGTGTAGTCAAGGCTTATGGGCGCAAGTGTCACAAATATAAAGTCTGTTCATAGATATAAGAAAGTGACTAACTGAGACGAATTAAGGAAAGACCCGGGCAAGCTGTAAGAATAAAATATGGCTGAACAGGCCCGTAATTTGCTTAGAATTTAATTATTTGAGGTTTTGTTAGGAAAGATACGAAACAATATTTATTTATGTATGTATTTATGTTGAAATCTAAAATAAAATTACAAATTATTCTTATTAACTATTTAAATTACTTAAAATTATTCACATAATATATCAGTATCACTACCGCTATCATCGCGTGTTCTAATTATTATTTTTTCTATATTATTTGCAATATGGATATACGATTGTTCTGCTTTTTCTATATGTTTCTATAAGTTTCTATAAGTTTGAGGATATTGGAGTTAACATCTTTCAAATAAATCTTTCAAATAAATCAGCAGAGAAAGTCCATTTGGAATCCAACCATCTTTAGAGCACCTCTTTTTGATGGCGCGTTTGTTTTACACTTATTAGTTGAGCCAACCCAACCTTTTTCCAATATATCATAAGTGTGGAACCAGGTTTCATCCAAGTAAATAATTGGTCTTTGTTGTTCTCTATAAATCCTAATTTTTTCTAGATATTCCAGTCGCCATTTCCGAATTCTAAAAGATTGCTTTAAAACTTGCCTTTTGTCATTTTTTTAAAATCTAAAACCGATGTATTGAATACACTTCCATAAGGTAGTTCTGCCACATTTAACACCAGTCTCATCTTTTTCAAGCCTCCTAATTAAGATATCTAATGTAGGCACGCTTTGTTCCTAGTATAACTGGTAAATTTTACGCCGTATTATATCTTGATCACTTTCATCTACACTCGAGAAAATGTCAGCATCGCTTCTTTTCTTCCTCGCTGAAATAGGATTGTTCACAATTTTTCATACAGTTGATATTGGAATTTTCGTCAATGTGGCCGTTTCTTCTAAAGATGCTTGTTTGCTGGTACCACGTTCAATGAGAGTCAAATTAACATTGTTACTAATAAACTTAAACTAAGTAGTATACCAAACCAAATAATATTAAACACAGGTAGGTATAAAATTATTTTCTATTACGGACCACAATTTTACCTGAATTTAAATTCCGAAACTTTACGTAATAATCTTGTTGCAATGTATGTTAGTGACCACCCTTGGATAATCCCATTCAAAAGCAATTGGTAACTTTTTTATATCTATGAACAGACCATACCTAGTTTCCCGCCTGCTGCCTTGTACTTTACGGTTAGAATATACCGCACAGTCTTTTTTCTTTCCATCATTTTGGCGTAAAATATGTAATTTACCATTTAGCCGCTCTTGGGTATCTACAGATCATGATCTGCCAGAAATTTTGGACCTCTGCCGAAAAGAACAAACTTTAGATGTGTCATTGGTTTGTCCCCGTTGCGAAATTTTATATAATAAATATGCATTGACACTAGACATTTCGAGTCCCCAGAAAAATAATTTTCGCCACCATTTTAAAGACTTCCTAATGAAACAGTATGATATATATGATAGAATCAGGTATAAATTTGCTGTTGATTTGAATAGTACCTGTCAAATGAACATTTAGTTTTAACAATTCTTCTGCAAGTGGGAAGCTCGTATTGTATCTATCGGTATAAAAATGATGTCCTCTTCATCCTGGGTTATTGTCCAATAATTTTTGACACAGATGTAACACTATCCTTGTACTTACAGGTAAATCAGATCGCACTAAATCTTCCGATGTCAAGCTTCCTTAGTACGGCAAGATTACTAATTTTACCCTTAAATCCAACAACACATTCGTCTACCGATATCTCTCTTGATGGACCCAAATGTTCTTTTAATTGCTTGTCCAAATAATCTAAATAGTAACTGACTTTCTGAGTTTGAGCCCTAAGGGAAATGGTTTTCATGCAAGCGGAGCACCCAAAAAATTTCTAAAAATCGTTCTCTTCTAAATATGCTACCAAAAAAGGTATTTTGGAGTTAGAATGTTGTGACCAATACTCTTGGAAATTAGATAAGATTATCGTACCCATATTTAGGATAATCCCAATAAATGCGGTAAATTCTTCTACTGTAGTATCTACCTACGTTTTGATAACCTCTTCTGTGCTATTTTATGCCTAGCGTAGATATTTGTTTGTCCCACTATTTTTATTATTATTTAGTTTATCTATGGAATTTGTGGTCCTACCATTTTATCCCCAGAAGCACCTGGCACCTCAACGTAGCATGTGACGTCCTGCCATGGACCAAAATTACCAGGTTGTGTTATATTCTCGTTTTCTTCACTGCTGCTATAATAACACTACCACTACTAGAGTCACTAATATTATCGCTATCCAATCTATCATTTTCAGGAGCGTCAATATAAAATTCATCGTCACTATTTTACAGTTCATTTTCAATTTTATTTTGTCAAAATTTCTTGGGCATTTAAAACATTTTTTTTTTCGAAATTTACACCGAAAAAATACACCGAACTTTACCCAACAGTTATAAAAATGAATAATATTTAAAATGCAAAAATGCTCGCGTGGGAACTGAAATGGTTGAATTATATACATCAACAGATATAAAATAAACAGCTTGCGACGGCATGTATAAAATAAATATCATGCTATCTTTTAGTTTTACGTAAACACGTCCTCAATGAAGGTTCAAGAAAGCAATTTAGAAATATTATAAATGAGCTTAACTTAAACTCCGCCTGGGACTGCTGGTGGGTGAACTGAGTACCTCATCAGTAGTCACTGCCGGTCCCAAGCCCGGATAAAGGAGGAGGGTTGGGGCGATAGGCCAGCTCCCTATCCCCGGAAAAAAAAACTGTAGCCAAAAATTTCGACTACTTGCCTCGGAACTAAGACAGGATTAAAAGACGACGAAAATTTGCAAAGAAAAATGACATTACCATTCGGTACATAGAAGGTCTAAGAACTAAATACACAGAAGTCTTCCAAGAAACACAAAGGAAAGGCATGGATGCCTGTACCTTAACAGAAACAAAGAAAAAGGGTAAAAGAAACGAAATAGTAGGAGATTATATTCACTTCGACAGTGGAGTGGAAAAACATACTAGAGCTAAAAGAGGAGTATCTATCGTAGTACACAAGAAACTCAAGAAAAATATCAAGGCATGGGAAGAAATTGATGAACAAATACTAAATTTAGAATTACAAATAAATGGACATTATATTATCATTCCCGCAGGAAGGTAATGAAATAGTTATTATGGGTAATCTAAATGCACGTACAGGTAGCAAAGAAGGCGATACAATACTTGGTAGATATGGTGAACAAGTAACTAATTTCAATGGACAACGCTTAATTGACCTTTGCTGGAGAATGTCTTTGAAGATTATGAATGGCTTCTTTCCTCATAAAAACATCCACAATAATTGATTAAGTAATTATGAAACAAAAATCTAGATTAAATAACCTGGACGTAATGGTATATCGGGGTTTGGAATGCGGCTCATCAACAGGACTAAATTACAGAAGAAAAATCAACATAAAAAGAGAGGATGAAGAAAAATATAATAACACACAAGTCGAACGAAGATATAAAGTTTTCGAGACGAATCTACACAATTTTTATACAAACTAAGGTTAGCTAACAAACTACAACGAGTACGAAAGGAACAGACAGCGAGAGAACTGTACAACGACATAAAAAGATATATACACGATGCAGCAGAATAAGCCTTGGGCCGCAAAAGGAAAAAGCAAAACAACCCAACAAGAAGGCATATCACCACTGACTAAAAGGGATGAAGATAGAGAAATATATGCCGAACTAAATAAAGAAGCAAAAACACTAGTTGGAACAAGTAAAAGTGAACGCTGGGAATAGATATGCGAAGAAGTAAGATCCATGGGCGGCTCTATATATATATATATATATATATATATATATATATATATATATATATATATATATATATATATATATATATATATATATATATATATATATATATTGGGGTTTACGTCATACGTATCCTGCTGACTTTCCCGTTCGACTATCATCTTTTGCGCTGCGTCGGACACCGTGGCCAAGTCGTCCTGAAGCCTTCCGATCCGAACGTCGAGGTCGGCAATTTTGTCGCTATGATCTTTCGCAGCGAGCTCCGACAGCTCGGTTATTTTTTTACGTAATTCGTCCACGTCGGCCACAAGATGGCGCACGTTGTCCAGTTGCTGACCGCGCGCGCCTTCCAGAACGTTGACTCGATTGCTCAGCTCGTTCATTCTTAAATCAATCTCGAAGGGAACAGAAATGTTTGCTCAAAATAAACCTTTCAAAGTGTACCTGGGTAACCAAAATCTCGGGTGGGACGGTCTCGAGGCCTTTACCGTGCAAGAGCGCGTCTTTCAATTCGTTAATTTCCTGGATCACGAACGCAACGGTGTCCCTGTCCGCGCACAATTCCCGCAACTCGTTTATTTCGTTTCGCAGGATTTCGTGGGCTTCGTTTGATGTTACTCCGACCAACTGTGTGCTATAATTTATTTTCGCCATATAGCTACTGCCTATGCTGACATGAAGCAACTACGTAATTTTTTTTTAAGAAGGTCCATTCAGCGTGCGCATGCGCTAGATTTAAAATTTCGTTTTTAACCAATGGCAGCTCAAGTAGCAAATTTTGATGTTGGACCAGTAAGACCTTGCGCCTTTCAACAAACAACATGGCCGCTGACAGATCGTCGATGTTTGGATGCGGCATTTTTTAGATATCCTGAGGACGTTTTACGGACGTCCTTGTGCTATTTGGGCATTTTCTCAAAATATATTGAAATTCTATTAAATTTTCAGTTCAAAAACGAGGTGTCAGTATAATTCTGTAATTAATGTTGCATTTTTGTTCTGTATACGAATCAATTTCTCCATGAACGCTATTTTTTCCGATTTTTTTTCTTATAAATCGACGCAAAGCGTTAGTTTGCATAAACTCATAGGTTTAACCTGAATTGAAAATGATTGAAAATTTAAGTGTACCTCAAAATGTAATTCCGCTATTTATGGAGCAACTTAGACAGTTGGGGGGTGACGCATGCGCAAAAGATCCACATCTTCTCTACGAAAATATCATAGTGACCTGTGGCGCATTAATTTTTACCGTAGTAAGTCTACTATATTATCTTTTAGCTATATGGTTTTCGTAGTACACATTTGTAAAACATGTTGCCCATAGTAAACAAATTTTACAATAGACTGTGGACCAGCTCTTTACATTAATGAAATACATATTAGTAATAGTAGTAGTAATGTTTATTATACCTTTCCAATTCGTCATGTTTATTTTGGTTGCTCCCTTGGGGATACTCAGAAGCTGCCGGTTTCTCTTCTTTTGGATTACCCGTGTTTTCTTTGGGGTTGGTCGTTTGGGGAGACTCGGCAACCGCTGGTTCCTCTTTTTTCGGGTTCTCCGCGTTCTCTTTGGGGTTTCCGCGTGGATTCTCGCCTTTACTAGACTCCTCTCCTTTTTGAACATTCTTCTCTGGATTAGGCAACGTTGTTTGTTTCTCTCCGACTTCATCTCTCTGGGTATTAGGTTTATCGCCACTCTTGCCGCTGCCGCTTTCAGTGGCAGCAGGAAGGTTCACGCTTTTTTTATTTGCTACCTTTGGGTTGGTGGACGTCGTGCCTAGTTGCAGAGCCCTCACGGTTCGCTCCAAAGTTGTTACCCTGTTCTCCAAACTGGCAATTCGTCCGACGTAGTCGGAGCCTGACGACGGCATAATCAAAGACTGTTGAGGGGTCGCGGCTATAGCCGCTACATCTGTTGAGCGTTGTTGCCGGATGGAACTAGGTTCCTTCAACGTCACCGGAGCTGGCAGGATTGTCTCAATAGGTTTGAATTCCACCCCTGTAATATCCCCATGTTAATTATTATCGCACAAATGAGGTCGAGCATCGATTAGATACGTTGCGCGCCATCTTGCTCCCGAGCTAGATATTCGATCATGCTGGCCATTTTGCTCATCGCAACCTCCATAGCGTCCAGTCTCTTTGCCAGATTGAGGATTTGGAACATGTCGAGTACAGGAGACGCTTTATCCGCCGAATCTGCCCTCAGTGCCTCGATAAGCCCGATATTAGCAGGCAATTCGATCAGTTCTTGGACCTGCTGTTGCAGGGTTTTGATGTCCGCCTGCAGCTTGCACAAGTGTTCCCTCGTGAGGGCTATCGTAAACTTTGGAGGGTCGGCTATTTTGTCTTTCGACGCAGGCTCTACTACGACTATGGTCTGAAACGAATCCGAAGAAGCGACGTCTTCCATAAGACTCTCATCTTTTCGGATTATCGTTATCTCTTTCTCTTTCTGGTTGTCGTCCGTTGCTGCGAAATGAAGAATGCACTCGAGTCTAAGTTTGGCAGCCATACGAGTTTACCTATGCTGGTCCTTTTGCCTTCCTTTTTCTTACTACCTCTTCGCTTTCGTCTACCCTTGCCGTCGGGTCCGATCGTATACTCTGTCAAGGTTATGACGGGGCCGGGTTTGGCTGTGGAAATGTAATTCTGAAGCCTTTCGCTGTCGCTGCCTCTGAATTCGACATTGCAGTCTCCCAAATCCAGCTGGTTCACTATGACGTGGAGTAAGGAGTGCAAGACTGTGAAGTTTACCACACCCACCTAACCGTAGACTGTAGAATTGGTCGATGAAAAGAAGCGGATACTTACCTCGGGCGAGTTGAGTGCCAGGTCCACCATCTGAGGCAGCGAAATGACCGTGGTGCCCTTGGCGGTCATTTTGTATTAAAATTTGTAGTCCAAATGTGCGTTGAACGCTATCTCTTTGACGTTGACGTATCACTCACCCGTTAAAAAGCATTTAATTGTTTTATTTTTTTTTATTTGCAAAGTTTGGTGAATTGTAATTAATTTAAAAATAATCCTTTGCCATAATTTGCGAGCGACTAGTAAAATATTAATTTTTAAAACCCAGCAACCAAAACACTTCCCCCAGCACTTTTATTTCCAATTTTACAAAAAATGTTATACAAAAGTTGTAGGGTTCAAATGAGATTCTTTGGTATTCACTTGGTGTGGTCCTAAACTACTACTATCGATATTCAACTACCATGTACTTTCCACTTTTTTTTATCTCACTTTTTCCTTTTACTTTATAACTTATATAACTTTAGGCTCATTTTAAATTCTGCGCGAGTTTCTAAAACATTTCTTAGTCCACCTCTGATAATTCAATTTTGTATATATTTGTTATCGAAACCTATTTTTCGCGTTCCGCAACTGGAAATTGAAGTCATAGAAAAGCCGAAGTAGTTTTGTCATATTTTATTGTACATATACTTTACATCCTATAATACAGTCCATTTTTTCGTTACAATATTATATACCTAATCCTCAAGACATAGTGTGCACAACAACATGCATACGATGCACTGGAAAAATACGAGCCGTCTCTGCGATACCATACGGTATATACACGTTCGCTTTGCACCTTCGCCAGTGGCGTGCCGACAAAAAGTGCCCGACTCGAAAGGTCGACGCTTGCACATTTAAAAACGGAGCAAAATATAGTGGTCTCTCTTTTGTACTCGCAAAATAACTACTAGAAAATACCTTTTTTTTTTTGTTTTCGATAAATTGAACACGCACATATTGATATGAATCCCTAACATCAGAATAATGTATCTCTTACAGCGAGAAGCATTTCACTAGGAATTTGGTTTTCGTTAATTTTCTAGTCTAACGGGCCCGACGACAAGAGCAAAGAAATAGGCGCACACAATCGATATTCGATTGAGCATAGACTAATAGTATCATTTGAAAAGTTATTAACACCATGTAGCTATCCCAAATACGAATTTAATTAAGCAAAAAAAAATTGGAATATGCGGTAAGAACTGAATGTCATGCCAGACATTTGTAGATAAGTAAATCAGCAGCGGTAAGCCCTTCCATAAGTGGTGTTAGTTTAAGTTTATACCATTAGAAAAAATAAATAAAAAGGGGTGATGTATAACGGAAGTACATTTACCTACCCCTGTAACACAGTTCATATATTTCAAATTTGAACAAATTGCGTTTTTATCTGTACCAGCTGGGATAGTTGCAATAAGATATTATAGAACGTTGAGTATTTTTTGATCAGACTCCAAAAGGAAAGAAAATTGAAAGTGAGGTTATTGTATAATTTAGTAAAATGCTAAAATGATTTGTATTACAGAATTACTTCTCCTGTAATTATTAACAATAATGATTGAAAATTGTACCTCTTATATTTATTTGCTACTATTTATAAAGAATACAACACATAATAGGAGTTTCGCTGGGGGTTTTGTGATTTATAAACCATTCGTAGATATAAAGATATAGTTTAACGGTGTTATTTTCGTTTACGTTGTATTTGCATTTTGTTTAATTTTAAAATAAATAATTTTAAGATAACTGTTCTTATTCAAATTTACCACCACTTAATGAATGACCTTAGTCCTGTAACTCATGGTGGCGCTGGTGATTACTCATTTTTTTATTAGTTTTATCTGTGGTCTATACTTAGTCTATGGAGTAAGTAAATGTACGTAGTAAGGAAACTGAATTTATCGGAAATAAACGCCTAAAATTGAACTGAGGTGGCTTTTACTTGATGAAAATTCATTTATCAAAATTAATTGGAAATAAAAATTCAGATTTTCACGAAATTATTAAAATTTCGTGAAAATCTGAACTTTTAGTTCTTATTTTTTTTAAATAAACGCCTGATGCTTTGCCGCCTTGCCCTGTCTTTTTTGAAAATTATTTTCCTTTTAACTGTATATATATATATATATATATATATATATATATATATATATATATATATATATATATATATATATATATATATATATATATATATATATATATATATATATATATATATATATATATATATATATATATATATATATATATATATATATATATATATATATATATATATATATATATATATATATATATATATATATATATATATATATATATATACATATACATTTTTACATATAAGCTCGAAAATGTGGCTGGATACGTCTCTTCTAAATATATATATATATGTATTTGTTTAAAGCTTTAACCAATATTTTTCGTTTAACAATTATAAGGGTCGTTCGGAGCTGAGTATAGTCAGTACAAGTTGTCGACACCAATGAAAAAAAAAAGATCCACATTTACTAATTAACAAAACATAAAAAAATAACTGAAAGTAAAAAAAACCCTTCATTTTAATGCCTTGTGTTTTATCGGAACTGAGGAAGTAAAACGTCAATAAAAGATCTAGCTAAAACAAATTTTCGCTAACAAATTGCGAAAACTATAAATAAAAATAAAAAATATAAAGAGATTTCTTGAATAAAATGTCCCATTTTTCTTCGCAATTCGACTCTAACCTGTAAAGTTCCTACGCCCCGAACGATCCTGCCGCCATTACAAAAAAACCTAACGACGCAAAACATTTTGATACCATTGCGTTGACCTGAATTAACCCTAAGACATTTAATTTGACGTTAAATTCAGAAAATGTGGTCCTAATATTTTGTTTGTTTATTTCCTAGTTTACATTAAAAACGATAATATATATATCATCACAGCATCAAATTCCCTAACGCCATGTTTGCGACACGTGGCCCAAGGGACGCCTAGTGTAATGTTGGCTATACATTTTTCTTAAACTCTATCAATCAATACAACAAACACTATAGGTTTCTCTTTGCGGGGCTTTGGGGAGGGGAGTCTAAATGTATAGGCAACAGATTTTCCCTAACTAATTATATAATCATAAGACAAGTGTAAATAATTTTCTAGCACCAATTCAATTTGACTAAATTCTCGTTAATTGTTACCACGTTGACTGGGCGGCGTCTACCAGAACAAAGAACAAATCACCTATGATTGTTTCCAGCGAATGGGAGCAACGTACGCATCGCATGGGAGGAGCCTAATGCTTTTTCATTGGCACTCAACCGGACTCGCTCACTTGGCTCCGCCGCTCGTTCGATCTGAGTTACTCTTTGTCTTGCCCATCATCGTGGCAACTCTAATCTTGTACCTTAACATTCGGCTGCTCAAATTATAGCGCTATGCTTACTGCTATGTTCCAACGCGGCTAAAACGTCTTGCTTTTGCCTCACGTACAGTCTACCTTTCTTCCAAGGATTCTGCAGCTGCAACGGCTTAAAGTCGTCTCGCAAGCACCTCTCTCTAGCGCCTATGACGGCAACCAGACAAAAGTTCTTCAGTTTGTCGGCATTGTAAATCGGTCCGTCTTTGCCTTTGAGCACGACGGCCATGTTGAGCTGTTTCACTACCAAATCGACGACCTCCCGGGCCGTCGTTCTGGGCGTCACGTGAAGTTTGAGGCTGGTGCCGCTCGCCAAGCCCGTTTCGTAAGCGGCGAACACCTGCAGAATACCGCTTTGTTCCTTGGAGGAGGACTGTTCCGCGGTAGGGTCCTTGTAAGGAACTTTGAAGATGTCCGGGTTGACTTCTGGTCTCCTTAACGCGTCTAGGGGCTTTAGGTAGTTAGAACTGCCTAGGTCGATGTCTGATACAGTCTTAATGTTGGTCAGGCTTTTAGAGAGGCTCGATTCTAAATTCGATGGTTGCGCTCGAGGTTCGACGCTCAGGTACCTCGGCCTACTTCTGTCAGATCTAGAGCTCACGTCGAGGATATTCTGTTTGACGTTCGTCATGCTTCTGCTAGGAACAATTTTAGGCCTGTTCTTGTTCTTGTTCGGCGTCGAAGCACTCAGAGGGTGAGCTTGATCACTGTCGGAACTCAGACTGTGCATACTGTCGGTGTTGATGGTGTTTACGCTGATCAAGCTCCCTCCGTACAGAGGTCGGACGCTCAGCAACGGACTCGTGGTCGCTGACGCGCTGGACATGGTACTCGCCCGACACCTCTGCGGCGAAGATGTAGGCAATGAGAAGAGCATGTCCTCGCTGCGGGACGGGGGAAGTTGCGAAAAGTAATCGCTGCTGTAGCTGTCGCTGTTTTTCCTCGATTGAGAATTGCTGCAGGCTGACAAGTAGTTGGACGTGGTGCCGTTAATGTTAAGCTGCTGCTCGCTCTTGCTGAACTCACTCATTAGGTTGGAACCGTTGGTTATGTTGTTCGAACCCCCGGGACCGGGCCACGAGCCCCTACCCGGGGTACTTTTCATCACTTTGGTATCCCTCGACGGTAGTTGAAGAAGGCTCCTCTTCGGGCTGGTACATACGCCTATTTCCTTTTCTAGAATGTACCGCATGCAGATGCCGCTCATGTACCTGTCTCTGGCGAACGAGATGACGTCCATTAACCAGCGAACGCTCTTCCACACCGAGTTGAGTCGCGACTGCAGGTCCTGGAGCTTAGCCAAACGTTCCCTGGCGACGGCGACTTCGCTGTTGGAAAAGGCCTCCCGGTGCAGGTGACTGGCGGTCGCGGCGTCGAGCTCCAGCAGGCAGCTGAGCTTGGAGTATTTCCTAACGATGCTCGGCTGATATGTGTTCAGGTGTATCATCTCAAACACCTGAAAAATTTTAAGTAAGCTGGAGTTAGGGTCAAGGATATGGCGCGGCAACCTGGATAGGAAGGCTGAGAAGGTCGCCGCGTTGGAGCAAGATCTCTCGTTGGCCGGGAACGCTGCAAGATAGCTCGGCGGACGGACATACGACTATAAAGCTGACCTCGTCGGTGAGGTCGATCACCTCGGAGTCGTAAAGGCGATGATTGTTCGCCTCCTCGTTGCCGATGTCCATGTAGTTGAACAGCCTCTTGGCGGCGCTCGTCACCAGCTCGAGGAAAGTTCGTTGCAATTCGGTCGCGTTGTCCAAGATGTCGGGCAGATGTTGCTGCTTGAGGTATTCCCATTCTTCGCTGAAATTTAGTTGGGTGAATAATATCAAGGACTGCTGACATCTTGGACAATGTGGATGAATCTATTTGAGTACTTAGTTCACAAGTTTCCTGTAATGAGGCAGATGCTTGGTGCAAAATTGTTGGTTTCTGTCTGTCGAGTGTTGGTTGAGTTGATTTTGAGGTATTCAATTTTACAATACCAGATACTGGAAATAATTTGTGATAAGAATGACGGTTCTGTTTGTCATTAGGCTACTATTAATATAATAAATTTATGTTTTGCTTTACATGTGGTTATAAGCCATGTTTATCAAACTAGAATGAATGTTAAAAATATTTTAATTTGTTTATTTAATACAATAGTGGGAAATGTTGATATATTAAAATTACATTTCCTAACCATCATAACCACAGCATAAACGAAATTGCAGATTCCTAACTAACCAAAAGTTTTCTACAGGTGGAACCAATTACAGAGTCAGTTGCAACCACATATAAAAAGATTATAATAACTAGCCATAGTCATAGTGTTGGTTAGTTTTGGTTTTGGTTACCAAAACATGTTTCAAAACTAACGAAAATAAAATATTTTGGAACGTTGCGATTAACTGGCAAAAGTTTTTGGGTCTTTTTTCTGTACCAATTTTGGAACAGGCTCGCGCACGTACATGTTGCTTTTATTTCGATTTAATGTAACTCTTTGGACTCAGACTTTGTACGTTTTGGGAAATGTTTTTTGAAATAAATAGATAAGTAATGCCCGTTTGTAGGGATCGCTTTCCGTTGTTTTTTCTTCGCTTTGTTATTACAAATACGGATGTTATTTTCATTGTTTTTTTTTTACATTTTCTTTACGGATAGAATAAAGGAGGCGGTTATTTGAGCTCTTTGTTCCTAGGAAACGATATTTTCGTTCCTAGGGGAATTTTTCTCGGCCCGATGGTTAAGCGTCTCAGAGGATTCCCTGTGGAAATTGATACCGGTATGCGATACTGTCTACGATAGAAAACCGAAAGAAATAACGGTAACAACGATAATCCCCGAATAGCCGCACAATCATAAAGCTATAGTCGAGCTGTTTACCGACGCGACGTATTAAAAATGCAGCTTTATGAGGATTTTAAAGTTTCACGGCACATTACGAGTCAGGAAAAGTAATGGTAAATATTTTTAGACGAACTAAGCTCGTAGCTCGTTTCTAGACTCTGCATTTCTCGAAGTTCTGCCTTTTTATTTGCTGAAAAACCAACTGTTTTTTGGATGTTTTCTAAAGGTTTTTTAATGTCATATAACCTCCAAACTGTCTGATAAAATTTTGTACGGATTTTTTGAAGACGATGATAGATGCAAGTATCCAGCTAATTTGATCATTAATCATTCAGAATATATTTGACGTTTTCCAATTTTATTTTAGCGAAATTTTGGCGACTCTATTAGTGGGTAAACTTCGCTTTATAATAATAATAATAATCATTAAATAATTAACTGAATATAGGGCAGAATGATTGGCGGTGTTTCCAGATCAACTTCTTCCTCTTGGTGCTCTTCTTCACCCTTGCTGATTGTAATATGGCTTCCCTTGTCAAATCTGCTGTTGTAGGCAAATCCTGATCTATCACCATAAAATCTTGCAACTCCTCACTTGTAAACGTAATTGTTTTTTGAAACCGCTTTATCCACTCGCCTAGTGGCTGATCACCTTCCAAGTCTTGTTCGCATTCAGTCTCGGTAATAAGTCCTGTATGGCGATAGGAGTGTTGAATTGTTTCTGCTGTCACCTCTTTCCAAGCTTTACTAATAAAGTTGACTGCATCTAGCATATTAATGGAAAATTTGTCTTCGGACTCGATCATTTCCATTAAAATGTTTTTCCTGTATCGATTCTTAAGACTTTTTATTACGCTCTCCATATTCCGTAGATTTGGAATATGGGGATGTGCAGGGCAGTTATCTAAGAGAAGTAATGTTTTCTTCCCCTTTAATTCTGCATCCCATTTCCGTATTTCCTCTTCAAAAATTTGCAATGTCATTCATGCAGACTTGTTTGCCTTGTAGGTGACCGGCAAATGCTCGATGTTCTTAAAACATTGTGGGTTAGTTGATTTTCCAATCACGACTAGCTTTCTTTTTTCTCTCCCACTCATATATACGTTATACATTCCACCCCCACAATTTTCGCTTCGAAATTTAAGAATCTTATCTGGCGTCATTTTGTAAAAAATACCAGTTTCGTCAGCATTAAAAATGTCGTCAGCAGGGTACTTTTCTGCTAGTTTTGGCCACATCTTCTTGAGAAAAAACCTTAGTGACTTTTCTGTCGACATCACGGGCTTCGCCACTTATCTGTCCATAGTTTATACCATGTCTCTGTTTGAACTTCCCTAACCATCCTTCCGAGGCCTTGAAATCGATAATGCCAAGCTGTTCAGTAAACTTTTCTGCTTTTAGTTTTACGATAGGTCCAGATAGTGGTACATTTTTAAGACGTTGCTGTTGGGGCCACTGCAACAGTGCCCGATCCAAATCTTCAAATTTTGCCTTTCTTAGATTTTTACCAGAACTGCCTGCCGCTTCAGCCTGAATGATTTTTTCTTTGCACTTCGAAATCGTGGATACAGTCGGCTGTGTAACATCATTTTTCTTTTCTCCCCTTTCCATCTCCCGAATTAAAGCAACTTTATCATCTAGGATAAAATTTTTCGCTTATTCGCCATGCTCGCCGTCAAATCAGAACTGATTGAAACTATGGTGTCTTTTTTTCTTTCCGTAGAGAGAGTGAGAAATTCGTTATACAGAGTGGATTAATACTTAGCTTTGTATGGAGACCTAATAGTACAACAAATTTTATTCGTAATGCAGAGTTTTGTTAATTGCAGTTCAGGCGCTTTCAAAAGTTCTACTGAAAACCAAATACAATGTACTTACGCCGACACGTGGGGATTATCCCTGACCTTGCAGTGGGGCAACATGTTGGGACTTTTAGACGACACCACCACCTGAATCATATCCACCGAGCTCTGCATCTTCAGGTAAGCGACATACAGCCCTTTGGTGAGCTTCAGTCCCGACACCTGGTGATAGTTGATCTGCTCCTGGATACTCGCCATCAACACTTCCGCGATGTTGTGATCGTCACTTAGCACAACTTTTTTAAACACCTTATTCATCGGCAACCAACGCGAGTTCAACACGCTCACCGACTTGGGCGACTTGACGTAATTTATAGTACTTAGCACCACGGTACCCTGCGAATCGCGTAGCGGCTTGTAGTAGAGCTGCCCGAGGTCTTGGAGGCACAACGACGACTGCATCTGCAGCGCCGCGGACAGCAATTTCGTGCGAAAATGGACGGCGGACGACGAGTGCTCTTCCATCACCGACCTGAAACTCTTGGTGTCGTCCCAAGTGCAGGCGACCTTCATCAACCAGTGCAAGTCCGCTTGGACGCAGCTAGGAAACGTCTCGTCGATTTCTATCACAGGCAGGAAGTCTTCGTTCGTCACCAGGACTTTGTCTTCGTGGTAAAGGATGCACGCTAGATATATGCCTCTGCGCAGGTGCTTCTGGAATTTGCTGGCGGCCGTAAACAGTTGCTTGATGGTGGTCTTTTTCCTCGGGACTCGTCGCGTCGGCCCTGGCGTCTCGAGGATCTCGCTGCCAGGGCGAAACTGTTTCACTTCTTCCATCAGCTGCTCCAGCTGTTTCAGTCTTCCGCCGAACCTACGGGAATGTTCGATGGAGCGACACGAAAAGGGGAAACAAATCTATTTAAGGTAGAAGTTATGTTGCACCTTGGGTTTAACCAACCAAAGGCACAACTTTGAGTTGGAGAAAGCAAGAAATTGTTGACATACTTAGCTACCTAGGTAGTGGAGGCTCGTCAGAGTGACGTCATTTTCGAGTCATAAGTGGTCGCTACTCGTCAATGTTCGGAAAAACATGTCGAAACAATTTAAAATGCTTTTCAAACTTTCAAATGTACAGGGTGATTCATAAATATGTGGGAAATCAAACTTATATTTTTTAGATGGAACGCCCTCTATATTATGGAACTAATATCATACTTGCCCAATGTAGGATTGTTGTGGTCTATACTGATTGTTTTCGGATCTATGGCCATATTTTCGTCAAAAATGCCCTGTGTTTAATACCCTATATTATTGACGCCGTTTCCGACAGTTGTAATTTTATTATGCCAACAATTTTATAATCCTATCCTATCCTATATTTGCCTTATAGCTAGTTTATATAGGGTGAGTCAAAATGAGATATATTAATTTTAGTGGAAAACTCAAATGGAAGACCCTTGCATATTACACTTCCATTATTAAATTTTTTAAAAGGCTCATCTTTATTCAATTACCTATAATTCTCCATTTCCCGTAACCGCAAAAGACGTTCTATGTAATTAATTTCGATTTTCCCCACTCCAAAAAGAAAAAACCAATTTGAAAATCGTTATATTTTTCGGCAGTGATGACCAAAATCTGACCTTAAGTTGACGTCACTTAAATGACATAATTCGTCTGAGAAATTAGTTGGTCAAATTCACGTCCCGCTGACGTCATACATAATGTCATTTTCGACATTTAGTTAATGTCGTCACTTTGACGATTCTCTGCTACCTGGGTATATTTTAGACAAAAACTCTTGGTATTTACTTTCCCTGCTAAAATGAATAAATTTATCAAATATTTCCAACCTTCGAAGCCTCAGCATCCCCAGTTGACGTTTTCTACACTATCTCGCTAGGAAACAGACTATAATTGTTTTATATAAATAAATAAATCCGTTTACGCATGGGCGACATTCGCAAACCCAAGGGTGTATAATTAGAACTGAATAATGTATCCGAGTGAAGACGCCCCTTTGAACAAAAGCCACAGCAATCTATCGCGGTGGGGGAAGAGGAGGAACTTAAATCAAATTAATCGCCCGCCTCTTCCTGTGTACGTCCGTTCGCGCTCCTTAAGCGCCCTAGCGCCTTTGAGGGTTCCCTCTAAAATCGGAACCGCTGGATCTTTAATACGGCACGAGCGAACGAGCAGTCGGGGGGATAAGCGGCAAAAGGTTGGCGGTTTATTTACCTCGGCTTCTTGTTGTCGATCTCTCTCCAAGTGGACGGTACCACCGACGACGGGGTCGAGACCAGGAACGTGCCGAAACCTTTGAGGTTGCCGCAGCATGCCCTGAAAAAGTACCGCCTGCCCTGCGTCAGGTCCACCACGCACTTGGGGTTGGACATGTCCGTGATTTCTTTTTCACCCGTAATTATCGAAAAGTCCGACCTCGTGGACCATTGCACTGCGAAAAAGGTTCTGGACGTTATGGCGGGAACCGAGTTTGTGGTGGGGGACGATTTTTATAGGTACGATCGGCGTCGTCTGCGCTTTGGTTTATATTAGATTGATGAACCCACCGGTAGTAACGTGTGGGTTACCTTAGCTAACAAATTTTGCAGCCACGAAGCAGGATATACAAGGTGTTCAGAAGTCTTATTGATTGATCTACATCGTCTGACCCTCTTTGTGGATTTTAAAATTGCTATCGAATGATAAAGTAAACCTAATAGTATATTTGCAACCAAGTGACCAGTATCGTCGTAATTTATAAATATAATTTTAATTTAACAACGGAGACGTATTCAAATCCAATTGATAATTGGTAATAGATTCGAATATCTCATTTTGTGAATTACTATAGCTTCCAACAAATTTAGTTTTTTGCTTTTTGTTTTGTTGTATCGTAAAGCTTAGAATCCGAACTTTTATCTTTAATACGTTTCTTAAATGTTCTACCTCTTTCTCCGATATAAATCTTGGGACATGATCCACATTTGAACTTGTAGACTCCGGATTTTTGAGTTTTTCGTCATTTAGTTTTATTTTCATTTTAATAACATTGGAATGGTGTTTTCAAATGTAAAAGCAATCTTAAGGCCAAATTTAGATAGATGTTTCCAAATTTTCTTGCTAGGTTCTCCTATGTATTTTATTGTTTTATAAATTTTGGATTCCGTATTTAATATGGGATAGATAAAGTTCCCAGTTATTTGAAACTATTTTTTTAGTTATAATCTTTTCTATCACTCAGGGTTCATAACCATTGCTAAATGCTATTTCTCTTATAATATTATATTTAATTCTTTTTCAAAATAACTACAATACAATACACAATACAATTACTAGTCTGTGGATCAAAGAATAAAACGCTGTCATTTTGTGTGTGTGAGGGTGATTTCAGTTATTATGTGCGTGTGTGCGTGTCCGTGTTCGTGTGTGTCCGTGTCTGTGTGTGTGTGTGAGTATGAGGGTTTAGGGTTTAGAGCATGTTTATGTATGATATTTTCCACATTGTCCGTGAAAATTTCTGCAAGTAATGGGCTGAGTGGGTTTCCCATAAGCTATTTTTGCTTACCATTAAAAAGCGATGAATCTGTAATTACAGATTTGACTTGTTTTTGATATAATTCGGCGAGACCAAATTTTATTGTATACTTTGGTATATGTCTGGTTTAAGAAACTGTTTAATTTTGATAATATATTCTAGAGATTGAACTGAGGTGGCTTTTACTTGATGAAAATCCATTTATCAAAATAAATAAGAACTAAAAGTTCAGATTTTCACGAAATTATATATTTTGACATGACAATTCTTTCGACAACACCGTGTCTTTATCAAATTTGATAAAAACACGTTGTTGTAGAAACAATTGTCATGTCAAAATATATAACTTCGTAACAATCTGAACTTTTAGTTCTTATTTATTTTGATATTCTAGAGAATCGACAGCTATGGCTATCTTTCCTTTATCTGCTCTTGTAAACACTATATTATTTTGCGAAAACTTATTTTTAATTAAAGGAAAAGAAAAAAGAAACTCTTCCAGAGATATAAAAGGATCTCGTTGTTGTGAGTCACCCTGTATAATATAAAACGTTCGGCGAGCTATGTTGACGTTGCCGGGAAAACCAAACCACTAATAGGTATAACGAAAACATATATTAAAAAACGACCGTACCAACGCTACTGCTGATCTCCGACCACCTAATACGATTTCAAAAATCCGAAACTTCAATCTTCCCGATCTTCGATATCGAGATTCGTGATTTGTTTATAACCAGAAATGCGAGCCGGCGCGGTAAGAAACGACGCGTCCGCGCGCACGTACGCGCACGAAACTACAGAGAGATCGTAAATCGCGTGCACCGCTATTAAACAACGCAACATTTTAATTATTGGCCTATTAAAAATCGCAAGGCATCACCAATTTTGTCCTGTTAAGTGCGCGCTGCCGCTTGATTGCCTTGCGAAACGTCGGGCGACTTTTATACGCCAGGTGCGCGGCGACGGGTTTGATTTGGCTCGCAAAATAACTTGTTCTACGAAAAAGTAATAACACGGCAATGTTTCCATTTAGCTCGGCTAGTAGCCGACGTTAATTTATTAGTACAGTACTGGGTATGGTCTGTTCATAGATATAAGAAGTGACCAATTGCTTTTGAATGGGATTATCCGATGGTGGTCATTAACATACAATGCAACAAGATTATTACCTAAAGTTTCGGAATTTAAATTCAGGTAAAATTGTGGTAAGTAATAGAAAATAATTTTATACCTACCTGTGTTTAATATTCTTTGGTTTGGTATACTACTTAGTTCAAGTTTATTAGTAATCATTGCGAATTATGCAAAATATGTACGAGTCTAGTGTTTTTCAATAGATGCTCCCGTCAAAATGTAGAAAACATTGAGGCTAAGGAAGTTATAAAGAATGTTTATTTGACAAGCAAGCATCTTTAGAAGAAACGGCCACATTGACTAAAATTTCAACATTAACTGTATGGAAAATTGTGAATAATCCCATTTCAGCGAGGAAAAGTGTAGATGAAAGTGATCAAGATATAATTCGGCGTAAAATTTACCAGTTATACGAGGAACAAAGCGTGCCTACATTAGATATCTTAATTAGGAGGCTTGAAAAAGATGAAACCGGTGTTAAATGTGGCAGAACTACCTTATGGAAGTATATTCAACACATGGGTTGATGGGTAGATTTAAAAAAAATTGACAAAAGGCAAGTTTTAATGGAATCTTTTAGAATTCGGAAATGGCGACTGGAATATCTAGAAAAAATTAGGATTTACAGAAAACGACAAATTCCAATTATTTACTTGGATGAAACCAGGTTCGACACTTATGATACCCCGGAAAAGGGTTGGGTTGACTCAACTGATAAGTGTAAATCAAACGCGCCATCAAAAAGAGGTGCATGCTGGCTCTAAAGATGGTTGGATTCCAAACGGACTTTCTCTGTCTGCGAAAAATATTAAATATTCTTCTCTGGATTACCATGAAGCCACCACCGCTGATTTATTTGAAAGTTGGTTTAAAAACAAACTAGTTCTTTTTCTGTTCTTCACTTGTTTTTAGTCATAACATCTTGATAGATGTGTTGTGAGTCATATCAATTGGTGATTTGGTGATCGGCAACGCCTTCTAATTACGTCAGGTTTACCTTGGGCTAGGTGCTTAATTGTGGTGCTTTAATAGGAAAAACCTATCTCTGAACTAGACAGAGCAAAATCAACTTACATGTCAAAGCCTCCATTTTTAAGAAATGCTTATTGGTTAATTTTCGGTCCTTTTGAAAATTGCCCATAACATTTTTATTTATGAAAATTTTGGATTCGGATTATTATTAGCGCCTTTTTTCAAAGGCAAATGCAGTGGTTTACTCAGATTTTGTTCTACAGTTTTCCGTTTTTTCATAAATTAATACAATCAAAGTTGGTTATGGTCTTAAAAAAATGCCCGTGTCTAAAACTCTTCGGCCATATAGATTTTGTGGTATTAGTGATGAAAAAAGGAATCCAAAGGAACCTTGGCGATTTTGATATACTATACTGTGCTCCAGTGATAAGAATTGTATGTGTTAAATATTCCGAAACAGTCAATTCTCGTTTCATCACTCCAAACAATAGACAATGGAAAATTAACGTGGTCATTGCATTTTCCGATAAACCAGTTGCAAATTGTATTTTTCATATAATTGAAACTTCCGTAATTGGTACATTTTAAATTCCTAAAGTTTTGGCTACTAAAATTGTGTGTGACAGAACAAAATTCAATTCAAGAATAAAAGTTATGTCCTCAACTGACATTGAATATTACTTACATTAACTTCTTTCATGGTCCAACTCTGCCATATTATTGTTAGTTGTGTAATTGCAGATCTACAAGGAATTTTCTATTAAAACTTCTAGGTAGATGAAGCTGTTACCAACTTCGCAATGTCATAATTTTGGTCCTTGTTAGAACGTATATTAGGACTGTATTGACAAGACTAGACTTAGTTCTTCAAGTCTCTTTGTGAGTTCGGCAAACCTTAGTTAGTAGTTAGTTAGACAATTTTCTACCACCAGTCTCATAATAAATTCACTGTAAATATTACAGCCAGGTGGGTGAATCTGCATGTGACATATTCATCAGACAGGCACTTATCAATCGTTACAGTGCAGAGTTCTCATCATATAATTGTCGTATGATATATATAAAATGGTGTGGGACGCCCATTTTACGTTATCAAATGCTTTGCTGTAATCAACAGAACATAAATACAAAATTTTCGACTTATCAATGATCTGTCTAATCAGTATCTGCTTCTTTATGCTGGCGGTATCTGGCACTTCAGAAAACAAAATGCCTCTCTCGAAGTATTACAATTTGCAATTACGATGTATTTTCGTGGTATATATTTAGTTATTTCAAATTCGGCATTTAAGCTTAAAACGATCTTCTTCTTTTTACCAGCGAGAAATTTTCAGCGGTCATCCACGGTTGTTTTGGGGCAGAGCTTGGTTTATTTTGAGTTTGATTAATAGCTTTTACAATACATCCTTTGAATAATTCCCATATAATATAAATAAATCTGTCATATCATGTGCTATATTTTGTCTAACCCGAGTTTGAAATGACTCTGCATCAGTGATATTGGATAGTGTCACTTTTTTAAAAGATTGTTCAAAAGGGCAGATCAGCAGTTACTGCTCAGAGACACACTTTGTTCCTGGTAATGTCTTACATAGCTTTATTGATGTTGTCCAACGATTTTTGACTATAATATAGGCAATTTGGTGGCGACATTTTCTCCAAGTGTATTGGCGACGATGATGTTATGAGAACATTCATTCCACTTTCTAAACAACGCTCTCCAATGGTATTACATTCAGTTAATTCAAATGTGTTTGTTTGATATGATCATCCAATTCTGGCCAACTTTGGAGTTGAAATGAATAGTGATCTCCCTATTCGGAATGGCTTGTAGAACATTCTCCAAGTTCTCATCATCTGGTGCAGTAGATATTGGAAATGGAAAATGTTATCGCGAATGTCCATTAGATGGATTAGAAGCGGAAATCGAAGTGAGATTTGAAAAAGAGGTAGATAACCACCCCTGAATACTTACTGCCACCTTCATCAACAGTAAAAACACTTTTTAAATGGGACACTATGTTTCAATTGGCAGTTTCTCCCACCGGCACATGGAACTTGTAAATGATGGCCGCAATTGGACTTCGGGAAGTACTTTTAAAACATTATTTTTGGTTCGTTTTGGTTAGTTGGTGGATCCGTGATCGCATTTTCGAGTGCTAAACTGTATATAACGTCATAAATGATTTTCATAATTGGTCATTAATAATGGAGCTGCAGATTTCAAATTTGGTACAAAGAAACTGAACATGCTAAAATATCTAACCCTTCTCGCAGAGTGTCTCAATTGTTGTGGGCGCAAAAATTATAATGTTTGTTTATGCCTAAAAATCACATAATATTAGAGTAAAAATGACCTCTGAAATTTTCAAATTTCAAAGAAACACTGGAAATATTTACCTGGTAGAGAACGTTCGTATCGACATATTTATACAATGTTGTGGTATGTTATGGTTGCAATCCCGCAGAAAAACTCACCCCTAAATTTCGTCGCGATGGGCGACTCCTGAACCGTGGGTTCCTGTAGCCTCACCGTCACCGTCGAATGGGCTGTAATGTCCAACGCGACCAGTGACGGCGGATCCGGGGGCCGCGCCTGAGCGAAACCCAGCACCAATCTCTTCAGCATTTTGGCTTTGCGCCCCCAAGCTATAGCTTGCTTCTCGGTATCGCCCCCAGCACAACCTGGATAAAAAAAGTTGGAACTTGTAAAATCTTTAAAGGGTCTCTGGTTTCTGATTATATTCTTTTACTTATATACTTTTAGTTTAATTCTTAGAGGGAGCCGCATTGGGCGTTGTTCCAGAATACAGTTATTATTTTTTTGGCAAACCCATCAAATGGTGCCCCGGTGCTCCCCATCTGTTGAAATAAGGTCGGGTCGATGGATTACGGTGTCAGTATGAATTTTATACGTTTTTGCGCAGTTGATAAAGTTCGCCAAACGATATACTGTTCTGTTGTAAAGCGGAAGGGACCATTCTTTTCAGACAAGACAGACAAGAACTGTGCCGTGCGGGCTGTTGTATTGTAAGAGTAGGGAAATTTTCTTTGATTAATCCGTTATATTAATTCATATTGGTGTGAGTCACTACTTGAGGTTGTTCTCCTACGTTAAAAACACATTATAAAGCTTAAACTGATTTGCAATTTCATTGAGGGTTCAACGTAATGACTCTAAAATATTTTCCTACGGAAGCAATACAAAATCTTACAGTTTGCTATCGGTTGATTTGTGGGGGTCGGTGAAATCGCTGATAGCATACAGCCTCATGAGACAGTATTTTCTTAGCCGTCGAAGCTTTGGAATTATTTCTATTCGGTCTTGGTTTTGTAATTAGTAATTACCAACATACTGTTATTGGATTGTTTTTCGAGACTCAGTGCGCCATTTTATTGAGATACGATATTAATTTTATTACAGTCTATTTCTTACCAAATGTTAACATTATTCAAGTTTGTTAGTCACGTGTAAGGTCCAGCGAGGAAGAGTTGAGATTGTGGTTGATGACATGATAATCGTTGATGATGAACATCGCTCAAATTCAAATGGATCAAAGACTCGGACACATGTGCCGATTGCTGGCAAAATTATGATTTTGAATGAGTTTCTGTTTCTAAAATTGACATCTGGGGAAAGTGGAGTATAAGGAAAAAGCGGAAAGATCGTGCGGTCCAAAAAGTTTACTTGACATGCACCATAGAGAATATTGATTTAACAATTAAAATTTCGGTTTTGGTTTTTAGAACAAAACCATTAATAAGAGACAAGTTTTTATGGAATCAATTCGTGCTAAAAACGTGCCCATCATATATTTAGATGAGAGCTGGTTTGATAGCCACGATACCGTCAAGAAACCATGGACTGATGGTAACAGCGGGAAATATTCGTTGGATATCCCAGTTTCGCAGGGGAAACGAATTATCATGCGGGCTCTAAGCTAGTTGGGTAGATAACGCTTGTTCGAATAGTCCACCAAACAGTGTTGTCGTGATGGACCACGCCATCTACCATTCTGCACAAGCGGAAAAAATACCGAATTTGTCATCGACTAAAGAAGTTATTTTTTGCTTGAAAATCTTTTAAAAATTATATTTCGATGTAAATAAACCAAACTCTACAAAAATCCGCCAGCTTTCAGCATTTGTATGCACGAAGTATCGAAATACGGTTCTGAAAAGTCATTGTGGAATTGCGAATCTATTTATTGAGTGTTACAAAGAGAAACCCAAACGCGCTAGACCTACGGTTAGACCTTCATAAAAATTTACTAATGTTAAATACCGGATTATGTCATAAAAACGGTATATCGTAGAGCGGACTATACATAAAATTGGGTATCCCTTTAAAGTTGCTACTAGTACTTAATAAACACTCCGGTACCTGTCATGGAGGGCGCTGGGTACGTGTTCCCGATAATGCTGGAAAACGAGGCTCTGGTGTTAAGGGAAGCCCCGCAGGGTTCGTCCAAGAGACCGCCGAGTTCCTGCAGGCGCATTTCGGCTTCACCCAGGAGCTGTTTGAGGTGGGAGCCCATCTTGTCCGAGCTGGCGACTGGAAAAATAAAACACCCTCGTTGGACGAATCAGTTTGAAAAAAAAAACGTTCGTTGACAGTTTACGGTCGTTCGTTGTATATTGGCTGAGATTTGCAGGAGGCAGGAGGGCGTCCGTTTGAAAAGCCGTCGCTTTGTCGCGGAGAAAAATGGCGAGAAAATCCGTTTTCCGATTGTATTAGGTACATAGAAATCGAATTGGGGTTTCTTGCGCTTTTCGGTATTCGGTCCCAGGGGGCTGCGATAACGGACGTATTATCGGCTTTAGAATCACGTGATCAGGACCGCATACGTACAGGGCGTAAAATTAAAAAGATGAATTTTGGCAAGGAGGCTTTATAACAAAGAAAAAAACCAAGGACAAGTTAAACCAACGATTTGCGAAATATAAACTTGCGTGCCTAGAAATCGGTCTACTGTAAACTTTTGACTGTAAACATGCTATTTGGAAGACAATTTAATATTATTTAGCATGAGTTGGAATTTGTCAGGAGTGCTGATCTTTTATATGCGTAGCTACGTGTTCATGCAGTAGTGATAGTAATATTAACAAACTTGTTATATACTTAAATTAATCGCCTTTGCAACTGGGATTTTTCCATTGTTCGTTTTTGTCCATTTGGATAAATTATTATGCTAGCTTGATGCATACTACAAGTACAAGATAAAAACAGCAAAAACAGCAGAAACCGTTCCTGATAAAACGCGAAGCGAAGTAGAACATGCAATAAAGGCTACATAATCTGTCAAAACTGTCGGACCAGATGAGGTATGCAATGAAGTTCTAAAACTGCTCGAGGACGACTCAATCCCTGTTATCGTCGACTTATTCAACGAAATATATAAAACGGGCATCATACCATATGAATGGCTACTTTCGTCCCAATCCCGAAAAAACCTCGAACAGCTAAATGCGATGACCACCGTCTGATTAGCCTAATGAACCACTTCCTGAAAGTATTTCTCAGAATAATTCACACCAGAATACTGAATAAATGTGACTCCGAAATCTCTAACACGCAATTTGGTTTTCGGAACGGTATGGGCACAAAAGAGGCTATATTCTCGTTCAATGTTCTGGCACAAAGATGCTTTGATGTAAACCAAGAAGTGTACGCATGTTTTATAGATTTTACAAAGGCCTTTAACAACGTTAAACATCCGGCTTTTAAACATGTTACAAAACCACACACACACACAGACAGGGCTGTATTCTTTCTCCAATGCTCTTTTGGAGGAGGAGTCGGCAGGAATCTTAATTAACGGTAGAGCAATAGACAATATTAGATACGCCGATGACACTGTTCTAATTGCAAGCACACTAGAAGACCTGCAGCGACTGGTGAACAAAGTGACAATCATTAGCAGGAAATATGGACTCACCAGCAATGTGAACAAAACAAAAATGTTGGTAGTGTCCTAAACAGGAAATAACCAAGGGCAATTATTTATAGGACAGCAGACTGTTGAGCGAGTGGTGCAGTTTAAATACGTGGGAACAATTATAAGTCAAGATGTAAACCATAGGTCTGAAATACTATCAAGAATAGAACAAGCTAGGACAACATTCATGAAGAAACTTCTTACAGCTAAAGATTTGTCGCTAACTTTAAGAACAAGGATGGTACAGTGCTACGGTACTGCTTTATGGGCTAGAGGGTTGGACCTTAAATAGCGAAACTTCAAAAAGGTTAGAAGCATTTCAAATGTGGGTCTACAGATGGATCGGGTCACGAATCAACAGGTTCTCCGTAGAATGAATAAAGAACTTGATGTCTTGTTTAGTATAAAGAAAAGAAAACTTGAATTCCTTGCACACATCTCACGGGACTCAAAATATGATCTGTTGCAGCTCATAATGCAAGGAAAGATCGCAGGAGGAAGCAGTGTAGGTCGACGTAGGATCTCCTGGCTGCGCAAGCTGCGACACTGGTTTGGATTGTCATCGGCTGAACTGTTTCGAGAGGCCATATCGAAAATAAGAATAGCCATGATGATCAGCAACCTCCCAGGGAGACGCTGAAATCAAGAAGAAGAAGATGCATACTATACCGCCAAAAGCTGCTCAAGTTATCGCTTTAATCGAAAGCTGACTTCGCCAGCGAGCAGTTGCTCGACAACTGGATATGACACGCGCAGCAGTTCGGAGACTATGCCACCAGTATAAGGAGACTGGATCTAGGCTAGGCGCTGTGGAACAGGCAGAAGGCGAATTAAAACGGCTCATGATAAGTGCTTTATTGTGTCAACAATAATAAGAAATCGTCACCTTAATGCGGTTCGAGCGCAACCGCAGCTCCATGAAGTTCGAAAAGTTTCTATTAGTCAGTGGACAGTGAGAAAAAGACTGAAGGTCCAATGCCATTGGTCCAAAACTCATCGACAAGCACGCCTACGCTTTGCACGGGATCATCAGATGAGACCAGAATATGCCTTTTTGGTAGTGTACCGAAGACAGGAGATCGATTTGCAGATCGCTGCAATGAGGAACTAGCCCTTATGGAGATGGTTCCTGCATGATATGGGGTGCAATTTCTATGGACGCACGAACCGACCCTGTTTCCATTCGTAGGAGCGGCTGTGGTCAAGGGGCACGAGGTTTAACATGATAGTGCTAGGCCGCACACCGAAAGGATGGTGCAAGATTACATTACAGAAGTCGGTTTTCGAGTTATGGAGTGGCCAGCATGCAGTCCCGACCTCAATCCGATCGAACATTTATGGGAAGAGTTGAAACGGAGAATTCGAGTAGACTTCGTACCCCAACCTCGATCCCAGAGTTGCAGTAGAGGAAGAGTGGCTTAACATTCCACAAGAACCAATAGCGAACTTGATTAAATCTATGGGTAATCGAGTAAAAGACGTTATTAGAGCAAGAGGGGCTTATACCCATTATTAAAAAATAAGTGTTGAGTTGCTAATTGCCACTAACCTAAAAAGCAGAAAAAAAAAGCAAAAAAAGGTCACAGTAGGCCGATTTTTATACACGCCAGTTTATATTAATGAAAATAATCTTTACCCGGAGTCGTGTGATAATTTACAAGCAGCAAGCCGCTGATTTGTTTCATTTAAAAAATATATATATAAGTTAATAAAAAACAACAAAAGTTTTAATGTTTTTTGGTTTACGGTTCGATTTATGATTTTCTTCAAGATTCTTTAAAACCTATAGTCTTAAACCGAAAATAGGTATGGCAGTGTGTTCTAAATAAGAAAAAAACATGTATACAAATTGGATTGGAAAATAAAATGAAAAACAAATATTTGCAATTTTGCTCTATATTTTAACACAAAAATTTGCGAAATTTATAATGACGATTATAATAAATATATGTAGTCGATTCATTGTTCGAGTTCAAGACAGCAGTGCAACATTACATGGGAAAGACCCGACATGTAATTTTCACTGACTCATTTTGTTGCGAAATATTGAATCAATAGCTATTTCAAATGCTTTTGAACTTTAATGTACGGAACAACTAACCAGTAGGTAAGTTACAACGCAATGGAGACATCCGAGGGCATAAAATGAAAATTCTACGTCTCCAAGCGTAGAATGTGATTGGCTGAACCATTCATAATGCATTGTTGCCGGTTTCGACTCAGTTCTGATTGAATCTTCGTGTCCCTTTTGAACATGTCTTTGGTTATCTTTATTCTATCCTATCTATTGCTTTTCTTCTTAGTTTTATTATTGTTATTAGTATTTTTATTATTTTGTTATTAATTATTATTACTGTGAAGGTGAGTTTAGTAAACACACCAATTACCCGAGTACCCAATTAGTCTCGTGTTGTTTTCTCTATTGTTAAATCAATCGATTGTAATTTATTTGTAGAACGCTGATCTAAGTGCTACTGATTCGTTCTGCGAGGAAAAAAGCAAAAGTGAATACGGATTTGCATATTTTGAATAACCACGATTCACACAATAGAAAGGATGTATTTTTCCACCGGAAACACTTTCCTCCGAACCGTGCTACGCGCCGCACTAGATAACAATAATTCATTAAATAAGTACCGGTGTGATTTTCGCCGAGCATTACAAGCAGCGCGAAAAGACAATGCAGAAAATTATCACTTTCGTTTTCGTCGCGCTCACAGCGAAATTTATAAACTTTCTAATGTAAACTACGTATTGTAACGGTCTTAATGTTCGCAATAAAAAAATACTTATCTATATATATATATATATATATATATATATATATATATATATATATATATATATATATATATATATATATATATATATATATATCTTCGTTTTCTTCTATAAGCAAGAGTGCCTCTTCTACTGGAATGCCGTACATAATGGATCTGTCAAGACATTGCCTGAAAAACGCTTACTTTATGTACAACGGGAAAATTTACCGACAAGTAGATGGAGCAGCAATGGGATCATCTCTCTCGCCTGTGATTGCCAACCTCTTCATGATTTACTTCGAAAAGAAAGGAATAGAGAAGGCAAATCTGAAGCCAAAACTATGGACAAGATACGTAGATGGCGTATTTGTTGCATGGCCTTTTGGCAAGGAGGAGCTTTTGAAATTCCTAGATCATCTGAATCCCATTCACCCAAGGATTCAATTTACAATAGAACTTGAAGAGGATAACAGTCTGCCCTTTTTAGATGTGCACATCACAAGGACCGAAGATGGATACTTGGAACGCACTGTCTATAGAAAACCAACACACACTAATAGATATCTGAACGCTAAATCTTATCACCACCCATCACAGATACAGGGAGTGGCAAATCCATTAATTGCTCGGTCCTTCAGGCTCACAAACGAGAGAAACAGAGACGAAGAACTGAAGAAAATTAGTACCTGTCTCCGACAAAACGGATACCAAAGGCGCATCATCAGCAATGCAATCGGTAAACAACAACAGCCGCAGCAGAGAGTGCAGGACGAGACCCAACAAAGATCGATCGCTGTCTTGCCATACACCAAGGGGGTTACTGATAAAAAAAACCAAGGAGTATACATTTTAGCATGCGGATCGTGCAGCCTGACGTTGAGGTGTTTTTGGGCAACGCAAAGGTTGTTTGCGGTAAGTAGGTTTCGAAGCTACCCTGATACTGAGAATCTGATTGCTAGTCAGACGCCTTAACCGACAGGCCAAGACTAAATCTATTTAGAAGTTGAAAAATTTTTGATGATGTGAAAAATTTAATTATTCGCATAGTTGACAAAATCTTCCCCATTAGGTTAGCTTCTAATAAAAAAGGTGTTTTTAAGCAACAGAATGGTCGTTTCCGGTAAGTAGGTTTGGAACCTACGCTGCGACTTAGAACCTGATTGCTAGTCAAGCGCCTTAACCGGCAGGCCAGGACTAAATATAAGAAAAAAAATAATAATATGGGGGCATCACTTCTTCAGGCACTCAATACCCGTTGTTGATAATATTTGCTTCTATTTTGTTGCCTGTTAATTGGAAAAAAGGTATTTTTACGCAAAACAGTGGTCGTTTGAAGTTAGGTTTTGAACCTAACCCTGCGATGGAGAATCTGATTTCCAATCAGAAGCTTTAACCAACAGGCCGTGATATCTTGACGAGAATGCGTCAGACTCCCCCTACTTGTTATTCGTTAACAATCAATATAATCTTCAAATCTCAGAGGTCTCACAAAATTCCGGTAACTACTGATATATTCCGGGCGGTTATTTGCGCCCTGCACTAATGCAACAATTAACCCCGGAGCGAAGGCACGAATTAAAACTTGCCCGGTTCGCTTTGTGGCTCGACATAATTCATTATCGTTGGCGGTGGAAACTTTCATAATTACACGGCTAGAAAGTCCACCTTTTTAATTACGCCCCAGGCCGCGGCGGCGTCGCCGTCGCTTCCGTAAATTATGACGTTTTCCAGCGCCGCTGCCGCGGATTGAACGGGTAGGAAAAAAAAATTAATCGGCCAATTAATACTCACACTTGTTTCCCTCCTTCGCGCCGAAACCGATAAGCATTTTCGCCATCGGTCGATTGTTGCTCAACACGGCGACATCTAGCGGCGACAGGCAGTCGCAATTGACGCTGCAAATATCACAATAAATAAAACTTACGTTTAATGGATGAATAAAAAACGCACAATACAAGATAAAGATAAGCGAATTGATATATGGTATGGTTTTGGCTTAATTACAACTATAAAAAGGGGTGCTACCTGCAGTCGTAGATTTGCACTACCAGTGGTGCGGGGCAGGTTAAAATGATTATTGTTAAAATTTGGTCTAATTCCTCAAGGAATATATTAGCGCTTTGTTGTATTTTGAAATATTGATTTTAGAAACTTCGTTATCCCAGGTAGCAGAAGCTCGTCAAAGTCATTTTCAAATCCTGAGTGGTCGCTACTAGTCAGCGGTCTGAAAAACAAGTCAAATTGACGTCAAAAAAAGGATGTCCTCGTAAAATTACTTATTAATTCCAGATATAGACTTTATATTTAATCATTAATTTAAACTATTATCAAATTCATCTATTTAAAACCCTGATATAGGACAATATAACTGGAGGCTGTTCAAATAGTCCAATTTAAAATTATTTTCAAATCAATGGATGGGAAATCCAACCTATAACTTTTAAATGTATATTATGAAATTAATACATACTCCCTTTTATCCTCAATCACTCGATGTAGAGGTTGTCATGGTCTATACTGAGTGATTTCGGATTTATCACCATTTTCCGACAACTGTAATGTTATTATGTTAACAATTTTATAAAATGGTAGAATGATTTATTTTATACTTGTTCGAAGTTAGTTCGAATCGTTTATACAGAGTGAGTCAAAATAAAAAATATTAATTTTCGTGGAAAAATTTGATGGAAGACCCTGTATTATACTTCGACTATTACATTGTTGAAAAGGGAGACTCATCTTTATTCATTACCTATAACTCTCTATGTCATTTAATTTAATTTCGATTTTCCCCTCTCCAAAAAGAAAAAATCAATTTGAAAATTTTTATATTTTTCAAATGATCAAAATCTGGCTTTAAGTTGTAAAAGAGATGCCACTTGAACGACAAAAGTTGACATCATTTGTCCGAGACATTAGTAGTCAAATTCACGTGCTGCTGGCGTCATACATAACGTCATTTTCGTCATTTGGTGACTTGTTAATGATGTCATTGTGACGACCCTCTGAGCAAATAGTAAAAAGTATTTAATAGCCCCAAGTTGGAAATTCAAATGTACATAGCAGCAAATGATAATTGTTTCATTGCATTTTGTCACTGCTGGGCAGGTTACTGATGAAAAGCGAGAAAAAAACACGTTTTTACTGTATTCGGGATCCAAAACCTACTTAAGCGGTGTGCGGACTTTTTTTACCATTTATGGTACAGGGTCAGAGCGATACGTAGTCTATTTGATGAAAATGATAGCAATCAGAAAATTAGGTTGGGGTCATAAAAAGCCACACCACATTGCAGCTTACTCGAATGACCCTATATATTAAGTTTTTGAATTATATGAAATGTTGTCAAATTTGAGACATTTTGCAGATAAAAATTTCATAAAAACATCAGCAAAAATAAAATAAAATCTCTTGACATCATTTTTATTTTATAAAAAACAAGTCGGTACCTACCATACGGGAAACTTTTTTATTCTTACTCTAAGGGAAAAAAAATAATCTTTATAAATAGTATTGCATGGTCTTTATTGTTATTAAAACAAATTGCTTATAATGGAAATTTGATTGATAATTTACATCGATACTATTTACAAATCAAATTTGATCCTGTTGGCTTCTTCAGAGCTAAACTGCAACTAGTACGCATTCTACTCTGTATCTGCTTTTATATTGTTTAAGAGGGGCGGAGCTAAAGAAGGGGCATGAATATTGTCTCATGATTGATTCCAATATCGGTGAAAGAAAGACGTGAGTCGCAGTTAACATTGTTCGACAATTGCTGATGAGTTTATTTGTAGTAATATTCAGGCTCTTGAGCCTGTAAACTCAAACAGAATTTTGGCTTTGACGGCTCGAAGATGTGGAAAGATTATTGAATAAATGGAAAATTTGGTTTTAACGTTATAGTTCTTAAGAATTTTTCGTATGTGATCAGTGATGTGTTGAATGTAAGGAAAGACAACAGTGGCAAGTTGCTTTCGGACTCATTAAACTAGAAGATTGGGCCGAAGTATGAAGTGTGATGGAACGCTTAATATCTCTAGTGTGGAAACTGTGAAAACTATAGAAAAGGCCTTATGGTCAAAAATCCTTCTGAGTCATTTAAACTCTATACACCCTAACTAAACTAATAACAATCTCCCATCCTTAGAAAATCAGACTTAAACCTACGCACACAGATCAATACCTTAATGCATGTCTCAATGCACCATCCGGCCCAAAAATCATCGGTTATCAACTCCCTTGTTTATAGAACCAAAACTATCTCAATTCGAGTCACCGAACCCAGAATTAAAGCACCTTACACCCGCTCTTCTATCTAATAGTTTCCATTTTAAGAGTTGGATCACAAAATACACTTCGCCACAACATTCCAAAATCAATGAGTGCAATAGAGTGGCAAGTCCACATTTGCCACTGTTGTCCTTCCCTATATTCAAAACATTAATTATCGCATATAAAAAGTTCTAAAGGAATATAACATGAAATCTAAATTTATGCTTTTTCATGTGCCGTATTCGTCATCGAACATTGCCTATCATATTGGCTATCAAAACTTTATTCACGGCAGCTCTCAATAAGGCTGTACTTGACGAATGGAACCATTCCCGTAAATTTCGAAGCCATGATATTCTTCTGCCACCTGGCCTTCTTCTTGCTTCTATCTTGCCCTGCACAATTAAGTGGAGAGCATTATAGCGCTCAGGATGTCGCATTACATGCGCAAAATATTCTAGATTTCTGGTCTTAATCAATTTAATTATTTCAGGTTGTTTATGTAGACGCTCCAATATTTGTTCGTTGCGGATTCTGTCAACCCAGCTTGAACGTAGCAATCTGCGGTATACCCACATCTCAAAGGCTTGTAAGCTTGTCAGCAGTATTTCCGTCAGCGTCCAGCTTTTCATCCCATAGAGCAAAGTCGAGAATATGTCACATTTTGTAAGCCTCAACGTAAGTTCGATGTTCCGGGAAAAAGCAGCTTTAGCTTTTTCTATACGAATTTTGATTTCTTGGCTCATATCCCAGTTGTTGTTTATGTTAAAAATCCAGGTATGTAACATTGTCTGCCTGCTCAAGTGGGACTCCATACGCTGTAATCACATACGCGTATACCGTTTGTTTACTTACAATCATACATTTCGTCTTTGAAGTGTTCAGTTTTAGTCCACATTCGTTACATTCGTTACATTAGTGAGTCTATCGCAAAGCATTTGTAGTTCTTCCGGAGTATTGGCTAAGTTATTGATGCTAACTCTATTTATTCTAATCCCTCCATCGAATTCAGCAAGAGCTTTCCTAAAGACGTACTCAGAGTACAAGTTAAAAAGCAATGGCGAAATAATGCATCCTTGTCTTAAACCAATTTACTTGTAATTTTTCAAAGTATCTATCATTTTTAAAGCATATACAGTATCCAAGTTTTTTCTTCAGTTTCTCTAAAAATGCTTCATAAAATATTATAAAGACTAACTAATATTAACTAAATGATTCAATAATGGCAAAAAAAATTTTTTCTGGAAAATACTAAATTATTACAAAGTAAATAACAGAAAAAAGATTTCGGTGTCATAAAATAACCAGTAAAAATGTTTTTTGTTTGCTGCTATTAGACCATTACGGTACTGAACTTTTGTAATATTTTATTTCTTCGACTTTTCTCGCGCTTAATAATATTTTATACGAGCATTTTCAAAAAAATTGTTACCATGCTTAGACTTTCGCTGGCTACTGTATATTCGTAAAAATGAAACAAGTTGCGATTAAAAATGGTTAGATGTTACATGGTTCTTGTCCTCCTCCATGTCATGGAGTCATAGTCAGTCACTGACGCGCCTAGAAAAATTCGAAATGTGGATGAACCGTCGTCTACTAAAAATATAATGTCCCAAATCGGTATACATGAAAATTCATGTTTGTCAGCAAACCTCAAAGTGAAAAACGTTAAATAAACAAATAATACGATGAATAAATACATGAATTGTTACCGAATAGAAAAAATTATAAGAGAATCTAATTTTGGCTTTATTACTTCCACCAGCTTGTTTTTTTCCTTCTTTTATTAGGTAGTAAATAAATTTGGCGGATTTTCTAACGCCCCACCGCCATAACAATGAAATACACAACAACATTTAGTGAATAAAATTATCCCGTTCGGAATATAGCCTCAAATTGTTCGCCTGGGTATTACGAAAAAATAAAAACGCTCCATATTCGCGGAGCATGCAACGAATTTCCCGGCCGTTTTCCTTCAGTTTATATGCATTTTCGCGAGGTCTCATTTTTTCTCTACGTCGCGTACGAATGTACAAGCGTATATATGCAGTTCATGTAGGTAAGTGAATTTAGCGTGAAATATGGCGCGCATAATTTATGAGTTTTGACGCCAGAAACATTCTGCATCTCATTCATCCTGCACCTGATATTATAGGCTCGCGATTGCTTTAAGGTCGGCGTTTTCGCTATAGCTATGAAAACAAAACGGGGTTCTTTTAGCAAAAAAAAAAAAAACACAACGCCCATCCTCCTTGGCCCTCCGGCGTTACGGAGCCTAATTAAATTGTCCACGTCTAGAGTAAGTGCACAAAAGGACGACATTTTCCGTCGAGATTGTACCCTCGGGGGAGTCAGCCGGTAAATGCCAACCTACCTTTTATAATAAATCGAAAGGGGCGGCTAGGGGGGACTTTGATGGGACTAGATTGCCTCGAAGAGATGATCCTGCAAGGGACGTTTTAAAGAAAAACTTTAATTGAAAAAAATGCAATAGCAAAGTAATTTACTTATAAAAGAATGGTTTAAACGAATTCATTACCCCCTTACAAAGACTCCGAAAGTTCTTGAGCGTGTTATATTTTTCATTAATTCTCGCATTGAATTCCAAAAAAAAAATCCC